GCTTGCTAGTGACTGCCTGATCCACTAGACCAGGCGCGGTAGGCCAAAACAACACGCACGAGATACGCCATGCGATGATAGAAGGACACCGTAGCCTTTCAAACGAGATATAGATACAGCCCATAAACAGGCAAGCAGACGTACTGACTAATGGACACATTAATAGGCTCACTGGTTGGTTGGCACTTAAACAGTGCGGCATATTTGTATCCATCCGGGTCGCGGGAGAGACTTTCGATCAAAGCTTGTTCACCAATCAACGTTAGATGTCTATTTCGATCGAATAGAACAAGATAATCTATGATATGTTTGCTATAGTAATAATAGCAACAACAATATCAGCGGTAGCTTTGTGGTCTCATAGAATTATTATTAATTTAGCGTACCATTCGAAGGTGAAATATAACATCGACGGATAGAGAGATTACATAGGTCGATCTGGTGATCTGGGTTCGAATCCGGGCGTAGACACACTGTTTCGCTGTTGTCGTGCTGACCGGGGCTAGCCGTCTGAAGCAATAACTAACGGTTCAAGTAAACAAGTAACTTAAAACAAGAAAAACAGACAGTGGCCATAGTCCGGGTTACTTTGTTTGGCTGCCTATCCAAACAGTCGCTGAACTCAGTATCGATAGGATTCAACAATGTCCCCGTTACAGAAGTAAGGTGTTTTCCTACTAAACTTAAGGACACGCGCTGGTCTTGGTTCGAATCCGGGCGTGTTTCGTGGTGAAGGCCAGCTGTCTGGGATAGTGCTTAATGGATAAGGCGTCGGACGTAAAAGACCATAAACATTCCTTGTTAAGAGTTGAACGGAAAAAGAGAAAGTAGAGAGAGACAGAAATGAAGTGAACGGGCTGTCAATAAATAAACAGACGAGGCGCCGTCGTTAGTTCAAGCAGCGACAGACGGCGTAGTCGATATCCAACAACAGCGACGGCAGGATTGTAGAATGACTTCCACCTTTCCCCTTTCGCTGTCAACGTCGCATATGGGTGGTTGCAGGGTTTCTTGGATGCGCGCACCCTTTTAAATAAAATATCAGCTAACTTTTTCAAAACTTTACAAATGATCGTAATGGTTTCATAGCAGCAATGAGTAGAGGCGCCTGGATTAACGGTACGCTGCTCCGTTGCTGCGAAAAATCGTTACCCGTGTCGAACATGCACATGCATTAAAAGATTAAAGACGCTGTGCCAGCGTATAGCCGATGTTGTCTGTCGTCGCTCGTCCGATCGGTTGTTTATTCCAGAGTATTCGCTTGTCGTCTGCATGTCGATGGGCTGGCGCTCGACAGGTAACGTGGTGTGAATGTGGCATCGATGCGCGAAAAGCCGCAGTTCCAAACACAAGACCTGTCGACCCATAGACTCGTATGCGGCCGTTCACATTCAGGCGATCGTAAAGGATAAGACCGTCCCAGAGCCGGTCAGACGGCGGCCGTCGGATCTTTCTGATTCTCTGCTGAGGGGGAACGGGCGCCGAAGTGTTGTCCCTCGTTTGCGCCTGGTTTCAGTCATTGTCCGAAAATGTAGACAACATAAAGACGTTGTATTCGGCCATCAGTCACTGTTGGCCTCGTCGTGTTTGCCTTTGTTATTGACCGTCTACGACAATGGCCTTTGCGACGCGCCTATTTACCGTAATGATGGCGCGACCGTCTGACATTTGCTGACCATACTGACAACTACTATACAGTAGCTTAAAGGTGATTCAAGTATGCGGCGACATTTTTGCCTTCACTTCGATAGCAGCGCCGTCAAGCGCGTATCAAGCACCAGCTGTACTGTGGAATAGTCTGGATCGATGCCGCAAAAATCGGAAGAAATGTAACACGCTGGCTATTTACGGCGGAAACGTCGACGGAGATAGTGGTAGAACGGCAAGTTCTCATAGAGTGATTCAGTAGTCTATTTGACCCTTATGAACAGCTTATCGTTAGGAAAAATTCTAACGATAGACATAGATGTTGGGTAAGATCGTTGAAAAACCAAAGGATCACAAAAAACTTATTACTGCTGCTGGTGCTGCTGATGCTGCTGCTGCTGCTGCTGTTAGTCAACTATGGTAATAACGGCGCCATAACCGAAAACGGTCTAATCAGGGTTAGGTGACGCCGGTCATCATCATCACCGGATAAATAGCGTGTCGCCAATATGTGACGTATCCAAGCAGCTCCTGCCATTGCTGTGACATAGACAACTCGTGCATATGCTGTTATCGTTGACCAAAACTCAGAGGTTTCAGCTACGTATCGCGCAATGGTGTTGCACAACTACTCTAGGATCTCTATCGCTGTTATTTCTACGGCTTCTCCCGCGACTACAGTGACTCGATATGGATAGCTATGAACGTAAGCTATTACATGTATTATCGCTCCTCTTTCCTCTGTAGGGTTCCTACTTTCCTCCACACAGTAGGACGTACATAGTTGTTCGAGTGTGTCATCACTAGCGTATAGCTAATCCCAAAACAAGTGGCTCGTTTCGGTGGCTACTGCCGACGTTTTTGTCTCAGTTTCGTCATAACGCAAGCGTGTAGCAACGTTCAGCATTGCTGAATGCTGCTGGCATCATCGTTTCGTCTATTGACTTCAATAACCGCTGCGGTCCGAACCAACAATGATGGCGCCAATAATAGCATCAAGAAGATCATCGGCAGCCATGCTAGTCTCTACCGGCTTTTTGCGTTCGCGATGCCGGTTCCCCATCGCGTTGCCTATCAGTCTGTGATTCGGTCCAAAGCAAAGCGCTGACGAACATCGTGAAGCCGACAGCTGTTAATCGCACGGCTCGCCGATGACGACTACGACGAACCTGATACTGATGGCAGATATCGCCTTTTTTCTTTCTTTCTTTGTTAAATAATCGCGAACACATAAGCACGGACGCGCGCACGGCGACAAACACAAATATGAAGTATAATACCACGTTGCATACAAATGGCGGATGGATTTTAGCGCCAGGCCTTAACAGTTCGGTAGCCTTGCCATTAACTGTGTGAAGTGTCGGTCCTTTTTCGACGTGCGCGGCGGCGCCCAAACCAGCGTAAATGTCGATTCCGGGTGGCGGCGATGCTACTGCGGTCGTTGCCGACGCCGATATTGAGAAACAACTGGGCGACCTGGTGCACTCGGCCCAGCCCAGTGGTAAGGGGTTGTTGTCCCGAATAGCAAAAAACGACCGCAAAAACGAACAAATGACCGCGAAAAAAAGAGACGAGATTTAATTATATTTTAGTGCTACTACTATTGGCGTCGAAGCGTCGCGTCGTGTTCGCCTCTAAAATGAATAGCGTAGCAAACTAGTCGTGGCAGAAAACGGACTAATCGCAATCGTCCGTCTTGCGCTTAGCATCGGTGATAACTCTGCATTATCGGCTATGCCATGGACGAGCTGCGCTTGCTCGTACTGCCATCAGCCGGAATCGCTTCTGATTTGGTGTCGATGCTGCAACGGCACGCCTGTTACGGCGGCGGCAGGCGCGTCTGACTGGCGCCCGTCAAGTTTTCGACGGTATTCGCAGTTTGACGCTGCCCTTGTTCTTGACAGCGTGCGCCCGCTGCTTTTTATACTATTGGATGTATTTTGTTAGCTACTGCTGCTCCTGTTGTTATTGTATATTGAAAGTAAAGTGTTGAAACAAAAGGGAAACTTGATGTCCACCTCACCGCGTTGAGCCGCCCACCGGCCTATGTAGCTCACAGACGGTGAGAGCATTTCAATAGTGTCTAAATACGTCTTCGCCTTTTTGTTTCTAGGTGTACCAGTTCAGCGTCGAATTAAGTTCGAATGACTTACATGATGCTCAGATAGCGGGTCTATCGCATAGGTATTCGTTCGTATTTAACAGGTATCATTCGCTGTTTCACTCAGAGTTGACTGCTTGGCGTGCTTTGTTTTTGAAATAGTCTTTCGAAGCTCTCGCTATCCAGCGGGGTCTGACAAGCATAATATAGAAATTAGTCTGCTCATTGACTGTTACACATACTCTGTATTGTTTAAAGCTAACTACAGCGAGTGCTCGATGGCTTGAAATGCTATCCAAAAGTGACATTTCAGGCGCGCGATCGTTTGCCAACGCTGGACTGGCGACATAAAATTGATTAAACTGTTAGTTATTGGCAGAAGCGACTGCTTTTTCGAATGATATCATTGTCATTAATATTCAAGAAGACGGGTCGATGCGACACGGTACAAAAGATTGCACATTGGCTAGCTAGCGTCTTCTTTTTTAGAAATGCTCGTATATAGTAACTTGCTCGATCACCATAGAATAATGTTAGTTTTAAAGCTGTTATTGGTATTGTGCTAACGGGGGGTCGTGGGTAAGCAAGGTCTTTCGGCAAGGGGTTTTTTAATTATCATTTTTATTAGTCAACGGCCTTGTATCGAATTCGGTGTGCGCCACGCTGTGTGCTTTAACAAAATAAGCGACTGTGTTCCGATGCAGTAAACAACGCCTATAGATGGGCAGCTTTCCTGTCTCCGCTATCAGATCGTCACAAGAACGTACCAGCACTCCGCCAAAACAGCTACACGAACAGAAGATGCAGCTGATATCACTTCCGCAATACGGCTTCCTTACTATTACACACTGCCGCCTTAATTCCGCAACGAGGTCCGAGATGGACAAGTCATATGACGAACGAAAATCCAGCAGTATCAGCAACAGCAACGCTATACGTTACGTCTGCACTATCAGGGCCTTCTACTAGCCTATGCCCTATTTTCAACACTGTAACTGGTGTTGTTTTCCTCAAAGACACTACCGAACGTTTGGTGCTACTTCTCGGTCGGAAACATCTATCAGTGCATATTCAATGTTCCTGTCGCACAGCTTTGAGAAGCGGCACGTCCGCGCGCGAATGCGTGCGTGTTTGTGATTATGTAAAAATTAAATTAAACCTCATTTGCGTGATGCGGAGGGCGCTAACTGATTCAACACTAGCAATAATTTAGCTAATATGTTTGCCTTCTTCTCATCTCGGTCGATTTCAGTGTTCGTCGAGTCCCGGCATCGAGGCGCAAGGCAAGGAGAGGACGGCATCGTGCGAGCCTGTCAACACAAATATCGGTGGGGTTGTTGTGACCGTCGGCGCTGCGCCGACCTCGCCAGTGTCTCCGGCGCCTCCTGAAGACGACGTCGACAACAACGAAGACGATGACAACGATCGACCGACACCGAAAAAGGTCCGCTCAGATGACGCCGCCTGTCCTTCGCTGTCGCCTGCGTCACCGATTAGTTTCACGGCATCCGGAACCCCGGTGGCTGGTACCGCGCTACATCAGCATCCGCTTGCTGCGCTTGGACTCGACCCAGCCGTTTGGTATCAGTGGGCAGCCGCCGCAACGGCTAGGTACGGAAGCAACTCATGCCTTATTAAAATTACTAGTGACCATTCAATCAAAATCATTATTACTGTATCCTTGACGCCTATTTTATCGTGTATATCTAGGGGACATGGACCCTCATTGAACCGAACGACATAGACAATAATAAGTTATGCTTCGGAGTACAAGGTTCATTTGCTTGTTCTTCAAGTGTCCGAAAGGTTCAAGTCCAGTTTTCTTGACTATTCGGTGTAAACATTGTGACAAGACGAAGTAGCTTCTAGGGCATTTCCTATTATAGACGAATTGATGACCCGGAGTATCCACTACAGATTGATATAATTAAAAGTGAAGGTGTTTTGCTACGAAGTACCTAACTTACGATGCATCACTTTCAGCGTTAAGTATTGTCGATAAACAGAAATAGCACTTATTAAAGGTCACCTGTTTTAACACGTCTATTTTAGCGGCGACTGCTCTGTTCGTTACAACAAACAAAGCCAAAATCGTTGCTCAATGAAAGATTCAAACAAAGTATCACGAATTAATTGTTCAGCTCCAACTAGCATTAGAAAATGGACCGTCCGGCCGGCCGCTCTTAGATACATATAGATAAAGTTGCGATTTGTTTACCGCAAAAACTAACCTACAGGTTGGTGAGGTCACTAACTGTTCTAGCTTGATTACGTCAGCTGTACAGGGGCAGGTTGCAACAATCAAAAAGTTCACCATGTCAGCGAAACGTGTGAATTCTCAACAATGGTCAAAAACAGATGCATCCTAGAATGGCGCCGAAAACCAGGTCGATTCCCCAGTTGCTGTTATTATCAAAGGCCATTCATTTGGACCGTATCAAAGATTCGATTTTCGTATAATACTGTGCGGCCGTTGATCTAGTGCCTGCTAGTGGACACTGGAAATAAGGGGACGATTGTGTTAAATCGCATTGAAAAACAAATATACTTAATATTTTCACTTATTTAAAAATATACGCATCATAACGTGTTTCTGTGTTTCGTGGATCATTGTTGTTGTTGTTATTATAATTAATATATATATAATAACTGCATTCTTTATCATAACGCAAAAGCGTTCTCGACCCACAATATTATATTGCGTAAACACTAGAAGGGCACAATTACCCAGATAGTATCTATATAGTATTGCTTTACGATGCCTCGAATCATCCGTACACCTACGTTATCCTACATTATTGTCTCTTGTACCATTGGGAAGCCAGGAATGATTATTTCACAGCCAAAATACAACCTGGCAATGCGAAAACGTTATCCGGCAGTTGGAGGAACATAGTCAGTGTGTGTCAGGGCAAAGCGGAGAATTCCGTGTCCATTGGCAAACTTAGTCCGCCCAGGCTTCACCGGAGCACGACTTGTTCTTCTTAGTCATAGCAGAAACCGCTCGAACTAACCGGCCTAGCGAAAACTAGGAGTCATTTATGGGTAGGCCAGGTTAAATAAGCGGAGTTGAAGTCAAATCGAAGGGCTATGGTGAATTCCGTGCTTTCGATTGAAAGCCTACAAAGGCGAGCAGCTCTATGGATAGCGGGAAATAAGTTAGAATAGGTGTAGGACATGTTCTAGTGAATTTATCGGCAACTCCAGAAGAGTCCAAATCGATATGTCCCAGACGCTACATCACGAGCACGTTAGAGCCCGTCTGTCGTGTTAGGCGCAGCGCACGATAGAGTAAGCTACGCTGACACGGTACAGACTGGCACGTCTTGCTCTAGGTAGTGAAAGGCTGGCAACGTCGATGTTTAAGGCTCCTCATCGGATCACTTCCATCATCTACATCAACTTCGTGAATATTTTATAACGCTGTCGTTTGCTAAGCGAAGGCTATCAAATGCATATAACAATTTTGTAACTTTCATTGCTTTTTGTCGTTCAGGTCATCCGCGTTCAAACCGTGGCAAACAGGATTGTGCGGGATGCTAACCGGCACAGCCTCAGCTATTCCGCCAAACACGGCTACAGTCACCGCCTCCAAGCTATCAGGCTTAACAGCGCCAAACTCATTACATGCATTCGGCGTTGGGTCGCGGACACATCGACGCCTTGCGAATGGCCACTCCAACTCCTTGGATTCGACAGAAGACGCCCTCTCTTCGACGTCGACTGTTAGCAGCATGTCCGGTAAGCATGAATTGCACCTCTCGTAGTGATTAACGGCATGCCAATCAAAAGGATCAAGGAAGAAAAAGCGATGTTCTCTACCGTATATTCCATGGCAGGCCATTTAGGCCGGAAAGGAAGGGAAAGACTAGCAACCAGGTGTCTTCGTGATTACGTTTTCAAATTCAATGGACGCGTCTGATCGCCAACACCTCTACCTCCACCCCGCCCTCTTGTATATTTTTTTCATATTTATCTTTCAAGTGCGGGAAAAGCAGTTTTTCCTGCTTTGTTTAAGTAGGTAAATCTAACAGCTTAAAATGACGGAGGCAAACGTGCAGGATATCAGTACCGAGACGAACAATTCAATAGATTTTCTATTTGTTTGTTGTAACGATAGCGCTGGCCGTACCAGTCGTTGAAGGTTGACGTATGTCAGTGTACAAAATGAAAGCGTCGCATATTCAATCGGTCCATCGCTGACCAGTAATTAACGCTGCCGTACAACATTTTACATTTCTGAGATAGTTGTAAGTTGCTATGACTAAAGGGAGACCGCCGAAAGTGGATCACCTAGTGGACCTTTAGCGGCGCAACCGGCGATCAGGTGCCGGCCATACAGATCTTGGCCTAACAATATCCACGCATTATTGAAAGGTCTCGTTATCCCAGAGTAGCAAAAGGCTCTGGAGTTGGAGCGGTGATGACGTGCTTGTTTACTAAGCTTAAGGGCATCTAAAATGGGCTAGGTTTGGAACTGGCTATAGATACTCTCAGTTTTATACTGGAATAAGCCGTTTCCAATGCTCAACGATGGTTCCGGACCTGAAATTGGAAGCGTTTATTAGCAAAAAGGATGTCTCGAATTGATTCATTAATGGTAAGTAACTACTACATGATATAGTCGTCTATGGCTTATGCAATAATTAAATTGACTTCGCCTATTTTGTTATGTCGCCGTCACTAGTACGTCTCGAGCAAATAAAAATGCAGTTCCGTACGGAAATCAATACATGATAGGTTTCTATAACGAGGACAATGATCGGCCTATCTCCAGTTCAGAAACGAGCCAGCTAGCCTACATACATATATGTAAGGCGTTGCACTATCGCTATAATTCCTGCTCCATTAAGATAAGCTTTGCTAGCATTAGAACCTTTTTATGGCAGCTCATATATTGTATTTTCATATGGTATATGTATGCATACAGTCGATACAAGCAACGATTTTTACTAGACTTATACAGTATAATGGCGTTTTCCTGTCGTTGCTATAGCTGTTTAATGGTTTTATGGGAAGTTTCATTAAGCTGGTTCCCTTCACACAGTTATTGCTTGAGCAAATCGTGGAGTCGGCAGCGACGTACGGCAGTGGTCAACGTGTGGCCTTGCTGTTTAGGGAAACGGTAGGATGGACTAGAAAGCGTGCAGCAACCAAGGCTTTTCTCTTAGCGGGTCTAACCCGCCTCCTCTAAAGCAGTTCGAGTAGCCAAGCTCCAGACACAGAAAGGCAGGAAGAAATAGGCGGGCAGAATTCGGCCTCCAGGTCGCTCTTTTCGCGGGCTTTTGCATCTCAGCTAAGTTATACTTGGTGGTTTGCTGGCTCATTTTCTCGATAGTTGGGCGGTGGCTGTCTTAGCCACCGTCGAATAGCTGGATCTAGAACGATCCCACTTGAATATTTATATAGACATAGCGTGGCCTTGCCCTCCATCTAAAGATATGCTCATACGAAGAACTCGTACAGACCTTCCTAACTGTATAGCTAAATCGTATCTAGTCAGGCCCGTTTTATGACAACATGTGCCTTAGCCTTTCCTACCTGTATCTTAGTATCATCTACGTTAAGTTATTAAGAACTTTGTTTTTTTTTCGTGTTGAGACTCATTCTGTCAGAGAATATTGGGCACGAAGGTGTTAGGTTGCAGTAATATATTTCATCTAATGATCTGCGAGTTCTCTGCGTGAAATACGAAATGGACGTAAAATGCTACTATTTGATTATATTCGAGTGCAAGCTTGACAAGCCTTATGAGGATGCTACCATACACAGTGGCCTATAAGTCCTTCCACCGCTCACAGGCTTAAAACTTTTCCCTTTTCAAACGATCCCTTTACTCTAGTTCGGGCGAAGTGGTTTTCGATCACCTTTATCCGCAACCAACGAGAAATAAATCCAGTCGGTTTTGCTCATTTTGCAGATTTTGCTCATTAATTTTGAAACATTTAGCATTAGGTGTCGGGGGCAAAGTATACGTGTGTGATGGCATTCTGCATTGTAAATAATACATATATATATACAATATATATATATGCAAGATAACAGCCGTAGCTGCGTGTTTGGCTTGCAAGCCCAACAAAAGTAAAAAACTTAAAGGCAGCTTATTTAACTATAGTTACTCCCTCTTGTGAGCTAACTAGAAAACTAAATATACATTCCACCATAAAGTTAAACACACAATCATGTCGTTATTTATTATAAATCTCTTTTATGCTGTCCAAGTTGCCGTTTTCACACGCCTTACTGTCATATACCCCCCAAGTCGTATTAAAAAACACATCGTTGTCGTTGTATCGTCCGCCGCGTGTCACCAAATCGCAAGCAGAGATCCGATAGTACAGATCCACAGGTATCGAGGACACACAGTGTCACCCAAGCTAAATCTACCTTATACAAATTGCACCCCCTTCTGACGCTTCAACGACAGACAGACCAATCTCAAGCGGCAGCAACTCCCTCGACTCTCGTACGCTAGGTAGACAAATAGATAAACTCGGTAATGAATTTCATAAAGCGCCGATAAGTCTCGTTTTTTAGAAGAATCGACCACAGCGAAGCGGGAATTGTCTTGCGCTTGAAATACGAACATGGGCTCGTATTTATAAATCATATGCCGTAGTAATGCTATCATGATAACGGTAGAGAAGAAAAATGCAAGCAGGGATACACGAAGTAAACATTTTTTGGAGAAGGGACTTCCTGTTTATTGTCAACATCGTCGTTTTGCAGTCCGTCGCCCTTATCATTCGACAATGGCACTATCCAACCTATAGAGTTCATCCAGTAATTATCATTTGTTCATTGTAGCCTGCGTCTACAGGGGTCGGCATCGTCTGTGTTGCTTTTATAAATATACATGAAATAATCTGAGCTTAAAGGCAGCTTCCTTAGATGGACATCTGCGAATCTCGTAACGATACCTTTAGATAACGACGCCTTATCGTGACGCCACTATTTTGGAAGCTTTACAGCCTGTTCCTGGGATGATTAACTTGTGTGGCTAAGATGGATGGAATACCTGCGATACGTGTGGCTCAACGCAAAGTGCACCATCCAGCGAAGATTTTGAGTCTCCGTCCGCGTCCAGTCAAAATGGAGTAATGAATTCACCTAGGTACCTATGAATCATTTCGCATTAGATTCAAGAGCAAGTTACTGATTGAACCGGGACCGGGCAAATTCGTCACTGCTCCTGAACTTCAACAGAAGCCGAATTGAATCTGCCCTTAAATGGGTTGCTACCCTCTAGGGTTCTTCCCAAGATCTTTAAGATGCGACTCTGTGTCCACCAACGGTCTATGTAAGCGCGAATTAAGTTGACGTTCCCTATCGACCCCTTTTTCCATGTGACGCCAAAAGTGCCACCAAGTGGGCGTGGTTGGATTGTTTTCATTGCTGCCCAGCCACCACCAACGAGGCCATAGTAGTCCATAGAGTCATTCTTGGCATATGGCGGCCATGTTGAGCCGCAAAGAGATAGAGAGGTCATCTCGAAGAGTCAAATCTACATTTGAAATAAGAACAAGTGAACTTCAACACAAAAATAGTCAGCGATAGCACGTATCACATCGATTAGACTAAGCGGACCGATGCAGGTGGTGCCACCATCACGCGGTATTTTGGGCTCGAATTCGAACCTCGAAACACTTCGTTTCATGCTGGGAGCCAGCCGTCTGATGGGATATCTAACGGAACCCATCGGGCCTAAAGCTCGTGCGATCTTAGGTTCCACCGTCATCGCTGCAAGCCAGGTTTAAGTCGCCTTGGAACAACTGTTACCTATCAGTATAGTCTCTTTGTTGCTTGTATAGAACGCAGTGGACAAATTGAAACGTATATCAAAACTTCATGTATTTAGCTGCTCCTTGTGCTTAACTAAGCTAGTATGATTTTGCGTCGGGCGATTCGCAGCGGCATCTGTGTCGAGTTTTCTTCTTGCGTCTTTGTGATAAAGCTAGTAGAGGTAATAACGTTTATCGTGACGACGGCGTCCGATAGACATGCGGAAAACGAGGAACCTTGTTGCAGAATATACTGTTTTATCTTTCCTATGGGGGGCGGTGGTTAAACCACGACAAAGATGCTACCACGCCCGTGGCTCAACAAATCAAGCAGAGCTGACGAGGTCTGCGTTATAATGAATTTAATGATCAACCTACAGGGCTGCTCATAGTTGTGTGCTGGTCCTGGGACCAACGCCGTTTGGCCCAGGCAGAAGCTGCTACATCGCAACAAGGCTGCTATCCGTCTGCCGTTGTTATTTTTGCAGCCACTAGCCTAGGTGAAAACCTTTATCGGGTACACGCTAGGTTGTGCAGTTCGTACTCAAAGCGTGTATTTGAGCGGGACCATTTAACTCGTCTAGCTTTTTGGCTGGCCCTTTCCTGTTAGCGATTGTTAGCTCTAGCCTATGACAAGAGCTCAACACAGCTGCCATAGATAGCTACGGCTGTAGTTATATTGAAGGTGTTAGAAAAGATCCTGATGGTGGTCGTCAGATACACATGTACTATACAGGGTGATCGGAAGTGACGAAAAAGAAACGTTCTCGAGGACGCCAGCATTTGTTAACCGATCACATTGGCCTAATTGAAATGGGAAACCTATAGCTCAACCCTTTTGTTTGTTTGTTTGTTGTAATTGCGATAAATGGCAAACACCATCCATAACTGCAGCAACCGCTATCAAGTACGTACTGAATATCCTGTAGCACGTAATCTGTTGTCATGACCGTATCAGCTGTTTGCTTGATGTAACGAACAGGGTCCCCACAGTGGCAGGTAGGCTCGCATGCGGTGCGGTGCTCAGTCAACCGGACGGTTATAATAACACTAAAACGATAAAAATAGAGTTCACCGCGAACATCATCTCCTTCATTACAGTCGCCCAACGAAGATCTCTTCGCTCTACTAAAGATTTCGGGGGGATTTCATTGTCTGTCCTGCCATTGGCCTTACCACTACCGCCGCCACTTTTATTGTCACTTATGTTTGCTAGTTGGTCTAGATAACCTGTTTGACTACGAGTCTGTACCAGTTTATCAGCGACCTTTTGCATTCTAGTGCAAAACTAATCATATCATCAATAAGAATAATCCAGCGTGATTACTGTTATTATGGACAGCAATCGTATGTATGAGTCTGCAGTTCGAATCACAGACACTTTCTAGCTATCGCCGTTCAATCGGAGCTGGTGGTCGGCCGTAAACTAATCATTGGTTGATTGGTGATGTTGCTACTCTTCACGGCATCATGGGTTGCCTTCCTGCCTCATGTCCTTCCATTATGAGACCTTCAGCTAGCTATATTAATGCTACGGCCAGCCGCAATGAGTGAAGCGACCGATTGCCATGCCCAAAAGACCAGAGCGGCCACCAGTTGGCAAGAACTTCTAGCTTAGTCCAATCAAAGCCGCGCGACGTTTAGCAGTCGGAAGCCGACGCAAGCAGCTGCGTCAAGCGCACTCATAGGGAGTATATATGGTGGCATGTTTGCTTCTGGCGAAGGCCAACTCTGGCCCTTTAGGTAACTAACTAGATGACTAATTCCTTCACAGTAATCTAAGCGCACGTTAAAGATGTACTCGCAGACCAAAAAAGTGCCCAGACGAAGGTAAGCGGCGGGCGGACAACCTTGAGGAACACCATAGGCCCCGATCCCGATTCTGCTGCTGTCAATAATTCTAGCATAACACAGCGGGCTACTGGGTGTTTTGCGTTGCGTCAACAACTATAAAGCTCAACGTAGAGAACTGCGATGGCCGCGATAGCCTGCAGAGTCCAGCTGATGGCACTTTGACGGTTGTTGTTCCTTCTCAGCGCTGCTATTTTTAGCAGGACCGTCTTAACCAGGCTAAGTCCGAAACCAGTGCACTTGACTATTGTGTCGGTCTGCGATGTTCGCTAGTACGGACATGAAGCCAGACAGACTCTGTCAACGATCCTGACGTTCATCGCGTTTTCGCTTTATTTCCAGCATTCGTCACTTAGTGACTGGCAATAGTAATAATGGCGGTGCGGCCCAGCTACCGCCGCCGGGGCAGCGACAACGTCAAGAAACGCAACAGGCGAAGCTCTGTAGAATAAATTCTTGTTTGGGATGGTTCCGCTAGATTTTTCGCTATCGTATGTTCGCTTAGTGATGGGCTACTGGGTGTCTCGCATTGGGCTTGTCAACAAATGCATCATGGCCTTGTGGGTCTGATACCGAAATGTTAGTCAATATGATAGTTGAGAACGCTTGTCGTAAACAGTAGCAGTGCATAGCCGTACCATTTTCTGCAATAATCATTGATAGCAATAATCTTACATTCTCTCAATGGTTATGAGAGTAAGCCAGGCGATTGGTAGTGAAAATAATAGGGTAGCAAAAATCATCGTGGTAGGGTTAGTGGTGGCCTGCAACCTTTTTTTTTTATGGTTGTTGGAATACTTGTTAATACCTTGCTTCTTTGTATCTGGTGATTACTCGTTTAACCCAAACAGACTGATGATAGGCAAATTATGCTTAAATTTCGCATAATTTTTCGCCATGAGTTTACTGTTATTCAAGAGAAAAATAGTTTTTCTAGTATGAAACATACGATATGAACGCCTGCCCGCTACAAAAAATAGCCCTTCACCTTAAATGCTATATATATATATATATATATATATATACGATCAGTGTAATACCCACGTAGTATCTTAATGGGTAACTTTCTAAGATTCTGCTTAGGTTCGAATTTCGTATTGACACAGGGTTTCGTTTCATGCTGGAACCCATCGGTCTGCAGTAACGCCTAATAACTTCAGTATTGGAAGTAACTTGTTTTTAAGGTACGACAAATCACGAACTAACGTTGCAAGGCGTATTAGAGTATAGTAACACTAATCAACAGAAAAGCAAAAAAAAACTACTTGATTAACCCAAATACAACTATAACCCGTCCAGTTCTTATATATTATAACAAAACAAGCAGATTACGATGGTTTCTCTGATGTGTACACGTTAAGGCGCGATTCAATATCGAACCTGAGTCGCCAAATGGTTACCGACGTATTTCCGTTAAAGAATTTCCCATGTAGCCCATGGATCAAATCTGGCCGTCTCGCAAGTCTTTTTTGGAAAAATACGCCCTTAACAGTGACGTAAGTGATAGGATAGGCCACAGTGGCTAACGCAGAATCGATTTAGATTAAGCGCTGAAGTTACTGATAGCTAAGGTAAAAAAAAAAACGTTTTTTATAGTAAAAATATGTTGGCTTATTTCAAATATCGGGTCGGTAATCATGGCACATGCAGTTGTGTAATACTGTCCTCACCACCGACAACGAGGTCAAATCTATTAGGGCCACGCGAATCAAAAGCTCGGGTGTTTCAAGTGAAATTCATCATTCTTACCTTCATTACATCGTACCCGCTTTGTGTAAAAATATCAATAATAATCATAGTATCAGTAAACACAAGTAAGTATATCCAGGCTGAAACTTGTATGTGTATTTTTTTATAAGCGGTTTTTTAAATGTCACGAGACTTTGGCCCCATTCTATACCCTATCTATGCATATATACGTTAGTAGGAATATATTTCTGATTGTTTACGTTAGTTATTATTGGAGTTAACATCTATATTATACTGTATTTTGTAATACTTCGTCTATAGTTAACACGGCTTTGTTTTGTACTGTTTATGCTGCTTCTGCTGTATCCGTGGCGATCGTCTTATTTCAGGTGCTGAACTCGATGAGCAGCCGTATTCGCCGGCGTTTCTGTATCAGGCCAGCGACATGTCGGGCTTACGGCGAGTGCTGGAGCAGCATAATCTCAACGCAAAGGCTTGCAACGACATTCTCGTCGAAGCATCGAGAATGGTTTACGGTTATCAACAGCTAGTGGACCATCTAGCGCGTCAGAAGAGGCAACTGGAAAAGGTCGGTTGGGCCTGATTACGTCAGGTCATCAAGATGACGTCATCATCCATTAAATAAACGTTAGCGACGAAAGACAAATCACGCAGCAATAACAAAAAAAGAAACCTTTCTGCTTTGCGGTTACCCCTTCGATAATTTACTTCATTATCGAATTTTACTATATTTTACCTTATGTTGTCTACAGTCTGTTCGCAACTAGTAGTTTTCTCCAGGCCCATACCTATCGCCCCTGTACCTGTCGGCGATAGCAACTTACCGGTGGAACAGGTCATAGAGAAATACCACGAAAACAAGGTGTTATCCCTAACTCTACACTAGGCTAAGTTAGCCTTGACACTTCTTTAGCACAGTTACTATACTTCTGGCTTATTATTAGATGCCTAATTCGTGCTGATTCCTTATACTTTCTTTGTACAGACCTTTTGCTTGCGTCGAAGATCCACCGCTCACAATCATAACCGTTGTTACACGCGTAGCAACAAAGGTCCCAGCAGAATGTCAACTACAATACGTCGACTGCCAACTTCGCCGCGTCCTTAACGCGCGTCACCGTCTAGCCTACCTGGTGGCGTCACCTGACAATGTTATTAGCGATATCTAGTGATACGCGCACCCTCTTTATCTGCTATAGAATGTCTATTACATTATATATGGGCGAGTAAACGCGTTTTGACCACACAACAACAACAACAAGTGCCGCTTTCGTTGGTGTTAACTGATATATAATTGGCATCTCTCTAGGGCTGCCAGCAGGGAGTTCCATACAGCTGTGGACTCTGTCCCGCTGGGTTTTAATGCCTTGCCCACATTCGAAGTCGTATACAAAACGTTGTTGCTATCCATAGACTACGGAGCACTGGAAAATGCTGCCGGTATTGCAATGATCCTTCGGCGTACTTGTCAGATGTTAGATACTCATCCGGCGGCCGCCATCGTGTTAACTAGTCAAGCATTGATCTCGTTGTTGTTACTATTGTCGTTACTACTGCACTCGTTAAAGCTCACCCCTTCGTCTAACAACGACAGCCGTCATTAGCTCGACCCGGCGACGATTCGCTTCTGCGTAGCAATAGCTGCGATTATAATACATTGATACGTTGTCCGGCTATCTCCTGGCTGAGTTGCCGATCACCAGACGGCTACTGCCTGCTGATACTGTTACCTAGTTACTGGATTGGTCGCTTTGTTTAGATCAGCTCGTCTGTCGTGACGATGCCGATTTGAAGCTGCCAGACGAAAAGATATCGTCGATAGCGGCCCGGGAACGCGGTTCAACTCACAGCGCCCATGACGGTGTTGTCGGGACAGGGAACAAATAGACGCCACTAAGGCACGACGCCGCTGCCGTATATCAGAAGGAAGTGGTACATAGTTACACTATCTCGCGATATAATTATAGAAGATATAAAAAAACATTAACTGAGTGATGAACTAGTAGAGGAACTGATCCGATTGTATCTACGCTTGACTCTTCCCGTGTCGTTGATGCTGACAGCGTGTTCGAAGAGAACGTCTCAAAACGTGAGCTCAGTGAGCGTAGTCAGACCTTTACTGAGGCTAATTAATAAGGTCAAGAGCAATTTGTTGATTGATACCTTGCCACAAGAGACATGGCTCTCGTTCGCTTGATGTTTGTTCCAGTCTCCTAGTTTGCCCTTCTGCATATATGTATAAATATATCCTATAACTTTAATAATTAAAGTTAAATAGTAAATAGATCACACTTGATGATCAGAAAAAGCAAACTACTAACGGTATGTCGCGTTAGTTTAACGTTCGAACGTTGCTTGTTGATCTCCAACCGAACTCTGTGTGACGGAAATCTATCAGCTCCACAGCCTCAACGCCGTCTTTCGCCATCCGACGTGCATTGTTCGTCAGATCCTCGTACAGTTGATCAGTGGATCATCCCGCATCCTTGTGGACCCCCAGTGACTAGTACGTTCAGTGTTAGCCGTAGGAAGACAGTCGGTTGAATTCGCAAAGCGCACCTAATAACAGTTTTTCCTATCTGCCCATATAAATCCCATATCGCTCGAATGGGTCGGTCCGACGTATTTCGCTATCCAGGTATTGGGTCACCTGTCAAACTCCAGACCTTACTCAGTTCATATACATGGCCCACACCATTTCTTCGTTTAGCTCTTTGCCGCTTCAGTAACCGGAACGCCAGTTTACTTTTAACAGAATGTAGTCTAGAAGAATTACGACACGTTATAAGGGATTGGACCTGAAATCGGCTATTACGTTAAATTATAACCTCATTGCTCTGCGTTAATAAACGTCCCAAAGGGGACAAATAAGACTAGGAGATAAGGCAGTTCCTTCTTTGTTATTAAGTATGAAACAGAAGATTTGTGTGCCTTCAGTTTCGAGCTAAATTTCTCAAAGGGAAATCCACCACATGCGCACTATCCGCTCCTGGAAAAACTCGATGGACTTTATGGCTGTATGGTTTACCCATGTTTTGCTAGCAACAACCCTCCTATATCTACTGCTGTTGATCTCGTTGCCACATTACCGCTACGCATCTGCGGGGCAGCAGACGGGCATTAGTTCTATCTGCAAGTCTGCCTTCAGAAATACGCTCAAACACGTCAGTGAGATCACTAACTACCCAGAAATATAGCTGATTGACTGGGCCACGCTGGTGCTGCTAGCCGACGTAATGTATTTCAATGACTTTGTCGATCTTTTTCCCTCTATGCAAGTCATCAGCCGTTGGCTGGACTCGCTCCTTCGACTGTTTATTCGCTGAAACCATGTCAGCAGAAGCGAAAGAACGTCGGTCTTTATGAACCTGTTACTGGAACAGTGTTGGACAGCGTATGCGATCAACAGTTGACAAACGTCCACCGATGACCTCCTCTCGGCCCGTTGCTGCTATCGCCATCGTTGCCGAGACTGGCTTTGCCCAGATAAAATGATCGTTGTCACCATTACTACTAGCAGTAAGGCTGTCTATAGCCCTTAGCTTCATAGACGATCAGCGCCATAGCCGACGACACAGCCATACCATGGGCCATCACATGCATAAGCTAATGAATTGGAAACGAAACAAAGTTAGTAGCCGTAGAGTCACCGGCAGCGGCGGAGGCGAAGTTCACGCAACGCTGTTCAAGACTCACGGACCGTTGGCGCTGCTGTGATTGCTGTTCCTTTAACCGTCGTCGTTGTCGTTCATGCACCAGGAGGGATCGTTGGTAGCTGAATCACATAATGAAGCGGCCAATCAAGCGATCAAGGCGTAATACGAACGTCGATGACGATTTGCCATCGTGTCGTCTTCCTCGCATATAAAGAGGCGCTGCGCTACGCTTTCCCGAAGCGAAAATAACGTCCAAGGCCAGCCGCACACGGGTGGCGCTGTTTGTCGCGTTATACATGCGCGGGTCAAAGACATGGCGCACGGTACGTCAGGGCCTTCATGTATATACAGACAAATACATGCACTGTGTACAGCGCTATATGTTTATATGTTTGTGTGGTTATTTTTTCGCTCAACAAACAATCGGACCAAACAAGTGGGCAGGCATGTTTTTGGTTCATTGGCACTGAAGTTGGCGATGCCGCGCCAGCAGCCGCAATAGCTGCAACGCAGATATCGCCTGTCGGTGAGATAAGGACAAACTGTTCGCTCAACTTTTTACTCGTATAGATAAAGAAAACGAGGGTAATAATTTATAGGTAGGTAAGAGAAGGCCAGCGTGCGTGTGCGCGCGTATCGACTTGAGTATCCTCTTTGTTGACTTCGTTGTGCCGTTTCCTGTTGTTCTGTTTTCAGGAGGTAGACCACATGAAACTGTCCGAGGCACCCTCACCTCAAGGGCGTGCTCTAGCATCGCCCGCTGAGTCCGAACTGTCTAAGCTCGCCGAGGCCCAGTCGCTATTCCGGGTAAAAGAAGAGCCTCTAGAAGACGACGAAGAAATGGCCGGTCCCGGTGACAAATTGGATCGGTTACAACTTCAGCGGGAGGGTCGTCGAATGTTGATGGCTTAAACAGCTTCAAAAAAACAAAAAGGTGAGGGGCAACGTAAATAAGTCGTAGCGACCCCTACCGATAATCACGAAGAAGCCGTACCGAGCTTCGCTAAGAAACTGAGGTTCTTTTAGCTGAAAAAAATTAATAATAATAATAATAATAACAATAATACAAAGGAGAAAAAAACGAATAAGGATAATAACAATTGTGGCTAGAAAAGAAGTCTCATAGGAAATCCGGAGGGGCAGGTCAACGACCAAATCAGCACCCCGGTGTGAAAATCGATTTCAGTCGTAATAAAATCTGAAGTTCGAACTATAGCGGTTGACCTCCGTTAGTGAACGTCAGACAGTCGCACAAGCAACAACAGCAACTCTAAAATAAAATGCTGCCAATCCAATGAGCTTTCCTGTATTTAATGAAGCTACATCGCCCAGGGGCAAAATCGATATCTGATAACAAATTTTAGTATATGAATTGATAGACGCAAACTTGTCCGAACTTGGGTAAGCGAGCGGCCGACGAAACGATTTCCGTATGACGATTCACGTGTGTATTTCCGCAATATGTAAGGAGTGACATTTGGCAAGAATGGATTTTTCTACAAAGGATTTCGACTGCTGAGGTGTGATGGCGGAAGCAGCACAGAGAAACAACGAGAGGAAAAAAAGGAAGAACGAGTCCGCAAACAACAGCGCCAAAGAGACTATAATCTGTAGGCCAAGGAAATGTTTTTACATGAGCAACCCGCTTGTGCGGAGTGGCGCGAATGGACCTAATTAACCTATAATCAACCCTGAGCAGATGAGTTTATGCGCTACGCTCTGACGTATTGAACAAGACGATAAACCCAGCCAAGCAAAGTATCTATCGAAAGAAAATGGACGTGTGTCCTGCCTGGTACCAGCAACAGTCGGAACTAGAGTTCGTACAGCAGCCGTACTGAAGACGGAAACTAGCGACAGAGAATCAACGATAAGTCATGGAGTGGAGGAACGTTTTGAGTAGTTATCGTGCAGGTGAACGGATGGACGGAAGACAAACGTGTTCTGTTTTTATCTAAGCAGAAAAAAAGCTTTCGCAGAAAAACGATAGTAGGAAGCTTATAATATAGTAATGATAATAATTATTATAAGAAATAAACAGCAGAGAAAGCTGACAGGCAGGAGTTTGAAACAACAGCTCAACTACTGTTAACCTAAGTTTCTTCTTAGTTGCGTTTGATGTGGATAGGGATATGGGCATGAGAGAAGGAGCAAATAAAGTTAGACAAATGCAAATAAAAAGAACACAATAGGTTAAGGATCTAATTAGCTAGAGCAATCCTTATATATTATGACGATGATCACAATATGATGACAACAGGCAAAAGCAATTCAGTTTACTGCTAGTGTTACCCACGGCAGTTGCGTAGGAGGAGTTCGCCATGAACAAATATAACAACCCAAACAGCGGTCTTGAGTTTTCAGTAATGTAACCCCAACCTCAGCTTACTCTGAAGTCACAGTGCATTTTCCGTCGACGTTCAAAGTTTATCGGCGATATTCAACATTGTATAGTAATTAATAATAATACTAGTAGCATTATCGTAGAAGTAGAGAAAGCTGCGATTATTATATAGAATGGCTATATATACAGAATGGCTGCGCAACATGGGAGCGGCTTGAGGCGAGTCCGAAGTAAAGGACGTGCAAATAGAGGCAAAGTTTAACATACGTGTTAATTGGTTGGTATAGGTAAATGTTAAACGGTAGATTTCACGACGGATATACAGAATTGTTGAAGACCGGGCTAGATATAGCGAAGAGTGAGGATGACTCGAAACGAAACAGATAACACACACACACACACACATACACACACACACACACACACACACACACACACACACACACACGCACATACACGCCCACACCCACGACGGAAAAAAAGATGCGGACATTATAGGCGGTATGGTGGATTATGGCCTACGTAGTCTCTGCGTACTATACGAGATGTCTCACTTGTCGTTTGGTTCGAAGCTTGGCGGTGTCCGCTCCGCTGTGTTCGGTGGCAATCTGCCGGCAAAAGCTGCCTCCTTGAGAGTTCGGGTGGCTATCGCTAGGTAAATGAAAACAGTGGCCATGAATAGATCAAAATTAAATGTTGATAACGCTAAGGGACGTAAGACCACTTGGCAGACGTTGAGGTAGTATCGTTGATGAGATATTCGTTAGGACTGAGATCTGTTTTTCAATGTTGGACTCTTCCAAGCCGTCGTTGGCACAGTGGCGAGAGATTCGCGTCACCAAAAAGCCGTTACTATGACGACTACATCAAAACTAGAAAAAAAAAAACAATCGTTAGCGTTGATTGTCCGTTAATGAGATTACCATAATCACAGTTTTAAATCATTGCTTAAAGGGAAGCGACAGAAATTAGCGGTACCAAGAAAGGGTCAATACCCTTCTTGGTATCTGGCAAGAGTAAACAGTACGGCTCTACACATTGGTAAATGAAATAAATGTATGCCGCTATAATTGTTAGTAACATTGTTTGTTATGAGAGAATGCTAAGAAGTGATGAAGTTTTAATGTTTTCGAAGACCAAATCGGCGTCTGCCCAGCCCCCCTCGAGCAGAATACACTTCGCGCTAATCTACGCTCTTACTGATTGCTGTTTCCATTAGTTGGAAAAAGGGCTTTTTAATTGAAGTTATAATTATTGATATTATGGTATAATGCGCCGTAGTATATAGATAAAGCGATGAGTTCATCGGAGTTTGCATCGTGTCAGAAGGATACGCATGAGCTAAAAAACCGAAACGTAAATCCAGTTCGAGGAAAACGTTTCTTCTCCTCCTAAGGCAAGCAGATATAGCCATCGCTGGATACATATACGTAGTTAATTATTATATTAATAAGTGTGATGATGGCGGTCATAATAATATGATAATAATTAGCACTGCTCAGACGAGTCGTAGTCGAATTGTTATAAATGAGTTGCAGAACGAGTAAACAACGAGTTACACGAATGTGGCTCGGGGCAAATAACCTTTTCTGGTGGCGGGTTTTTTTAAACTTTTCTCGAGCGTGCGCGTCGAGTCTTGGCTCGCCGGGTCGAATTGGAAATCAAGCGACCCAGTCTAACTAGTCAATCTTGTAGGTAGGCAAATAATGTAGAGAAAAAAAATCGCTGATCAGGGGAGAAAATGACGACTGCAGTTATTATGATCATTGATTAGTATTGTAAAGGGATATTTGTAGCCGAACATTGTATTGCACGCAGAGTAGCTGTCACACGCTACAGATGTATGCACAACTACATATATTTACACACAGACAGACACACGAAGAGAAATGGACCCTTACGAGGTCGACGGTATCAAAGCAGTTGCACAAATTCGATTCAAACAAAAAAAAAAACAACAACAACAACAACAACGATTATAGGACTGATACAGTTGAAACACTTTGAGATAACCCGATTACAGCAGAACGTCCAGGTTCGATAGGGCTTGTTATAGGCTACTATTACATTAACACTGTGTTAGTTTTGAAGAGCCCTAAATTTACTATATTTTAGGCAGGTTTATCTATACCAATTCAGAACACGAGACTTTATTAGCCGCGTTTTGCCAGGGCAAGATGATATGAGCCGAAGTCAGACAACAGTCTCCAAGTTTCTGTACAGCAGGTAAAACACGAAATCATTTATATTCTGTTCGAGCAGCAACAGACGTTTCCTTCGTCGAAATCATTGCACCGATCGCCCCTCTTCGACCTTTTGTTGAAACTACAAATTTTCTCACTTCTGTCTGCAGCTGGCACTCGATGACTACACTATAGCTCAATGACACTAATTAATTATACATCATGTACTAAAAAATGCAACAATACCAATGAACCAGTCTCTACATGAAGTACATAATGCCTACATTGTGTGGGTATATATTGATCGTACCAGCCACCATAGATGATAACAACAAACTTTAAGCGCCTACATAAAAATCAATCACCATAGCCACCACAAACAAAAAACAACAATTACAACTACGGTTATAACGGCTACTACTACAACGATAAGAACAGCAGCAACAACAACAACAACAACAACAACCACCAACTACCACAACAATGCGTGACTATCTGCACCTAGTAGGAGACAACATACGTAGTTCTACTTCAAGTTGACTGTTGAGACAGAATAGTCGTGTTTTCTAATGAAAATAATTATGGTCGTACAGATCCCGATTATTTGTGATGAGGAAGGGAGTGTCTGCATCTTGAAAGATGACGAGAAATGAGTGCGTGTGTAACTCTTTTTTTCCTTTCCTAAGAAAGTATAAGGCAAACAGATAGAATACTAATAATACCCGCATTGATCTGGATGATACAAATTGGTATTATTAGAAGGACGGCAAAAGGCTGAGAGAGAATTTATGACGGCGCTCTTTGCTGACTTCACGCATCGCGAACGCGGCACTGCCTCGCGAGTCTGTCGGGTCAAATGCCCGAACCACGAAGATAGAATGGTCTAATGGCTTGCATTATCTGCATCCGATGCGGATCGTAACGAAGATATCCAGTGACAGAAAATCGCGGCGCCGTACACGTATTGACAAAACATACGACCTGCGCCAATAACTGGGCGTGCAGCTGTTTAACTTGTGATTGACCTGTACCGCAAGTGCGTGATAATATAATCATGTTAAGTCTCTAAGGTACGAGAAAAATTTAATTCAACCATTTCTATTCAATTAGATTTTTTTGGCCAGCACATCGTACCGCGACAAGACCGAGCTATTATTTGGGCAGGAAATAGTGAGATTCTAAATACTGGACTAAGTTATTGACTATGATGGAAATTGAACATGGATTAACGGCCCATATGGCCACATAATTGAGAGCATTAGGCTTGCTTTTATGATTTGCTAGTGACAGCAGGCACTGAATAACTGAAATGAAAATTAAGAGAAAAATTAATAAAAAGGGAAGTGCGACACGTCCGTAAGAAAGCGAGTGTTCATGTCGCGTTTGTTTCGATGTGCCCATACCAATAATGATGAAGCTTTGATAGGAAATCAGGATGTCTGTCTGTGTCTATTTGTGATGTTTACATGTCCATACACTGTGTTTCAACTTTGTACTGGACTAGAGACATGTTTCCTGTATAAAAACAAAGAATATGATACTAGACTAATTACTCAACAGGATTAAAGAACGATATTCTACCAGCCAACAAAATGAAGGGTAACTGTCGAACGAACTAACAGCAGAAAGAAACAAAAATACTAGAGTTTCTATAGATATATTTATTAACATAAATAAAATGTGTCAAAAAAGTTCGATAATCTTGTATATATATATATATATATATATATATATATATATATATATGTGTGTATATATATATATATATAAAACACCTAGATACATATACGTACGTGAATATATGTGAAATACGAGTAATGCGTATTCAAGAAAGGACAAAGGTGGCACCACGGCCCCAGACACATCATTTAGCACCTCGAAAATATAATAAGAAACACTAATTCTAATTATCTACAAACACATTGATACTTTTTCTATATGACATACAAAAATGACAGTAGCGGTTAGGTTGTAAATTGTAGTTGATTTACAGAAAAGGCAAACGTTTCACTCACACATATATTTACAAATACTCGCCCATCCATCTGAAGTAGTAAAAGTTTGAAGGAGAGCAAGAAACATATATCAAGAAATGACTGCCCGGTCACACACGTAGGAACATGCACAAAAACACACACCGAAACATACAACACACACGCACACATTAACCGCACAAGCCAAATAAAAACCCATACAGATACGACATACCTTGTTTTACATAATTTATCATACATCGGTGGGGTACACACGGCAACAAAAAACACCCCAAGTTGAGAGAAAAACGTACGGCAAGTCACACACGCCCCAACCGATCTGCACATAGTCGAGTCAGTATAGACGACGATGTTCACGGTTTAAAATGGAAGAAACTCGTAATAGTGAAGGTGACGACTGATACACGAGACGAGAAAAATAGATGTGCTTCGTTTCTAAATTATTTCGCGTTCTACCAGAGCTATGTATATAAAATGACTTGACAATAATCATGGACTGATTTTCTTGATACTGTTTATGATAATATTAACATTATGAATTAATAACAATAATGCAATTGTAATATTGTCATGATTACAAGTACATGTTCAAGTGAGAGCCGATACGATATAGTAAACAATGGTAATGAAGATGTCATCAAATGAGTGAACACAAAAATGTCGTAAGACTATTAACAGTGACACCGAGAGCATTAAAAAAAAAAACAGCACCAGCAGAGGCAGCATTCAAATAAATGTGTTTTTATTATTATTATTATTATTATTATTATTATTACGAAGAGTTAATAAGCAAATGAAATGAGCTAAATGAAACGCGATACTGTCAAATAGATTCGAGTCAAATGGACATGAGTAATAGATCGACCAGTGTCGAAGTTTAAAGGGGCAAAAAGGAGAAATGTAAACTTTTCTTAAATAGGTTTGCTATTGCTGCGATTAACTATTGGACGGCAACATCAATTGGATGAAGCAGTGTAATGGCAAGCGAAAATGCAGACGATGTCAGAGTGACAGATTATGATTTGGGTGAGATTACACTTGGTTTGAGTCTTCTGGCTACGACACCAATCGGAAAACTCTAACCAATTAGACTAGCATGTAATGGCTAAACGCGTACGTTTGTTCAAATCGCGCGCGCAGGAAGACAACGTAAGAAACACAAGAGAGAGGGCGAAAGGGAGGCTTCGTGTGGTGGACGAAAGAGCCCGTGAAAATTTGAAAAGTTGTGCGTCCGTGTGTTTTGAAAAAATATTAGCACGTGTGGAACTTGCCCGTACAGCGTGACCAGGAATGGCTATGGAGTGGCAGAACAGAACATCAGAAAACATGAAAGCCATTCGTTGAAAGAGGCTAACAGAGAGGCTATAAAAGCTGAACGAAAAAAAGTGACACAATGAGCGATAACGAGAGATATAGCCAGAAGATAATGAGATAAGAGAAGGCCTTCAGTATAAAAAGAAAGATCTACCCCGCTTCGGTTGTATATAGTGGCTTCGTTTTTTAGCATTGAGTTGCAGTTATATATAATTATTATCTGTTACCTTGAAGCGGCCTGCGGTGGGTGTGGATCGGAAAAATCAATATCGGAGCCTCCGGTAGCCCCCACTGGTGGCGGATTCGGGTGTGTGTATATAGACGAAAACAGTTTAGGTACAGCCATATTGTGATCCCGCGTAAATGTTGCATAATAAATTAAAGAAAATTATTAAAATATCAAGGGAAAAATAACTGAAGGTGTCTTCTTTGTTAGCTATTATTGAGATAGTGTTGCTTTTTATGTGCTTTGAAGGATTAGATTTTTATTTTATTAATTAGTAAAGATAACTTTGTTTCAGTGTTAACGTACTAATACGTTCGATACTACGTTCAAAGAGAAATGGATAAAATTAGGCATCTATGTGCTGCTTTCGACATTATATAAAAAGTAAAGATCCTTATCAAAGTCGCACAAGAATACCAAATGCGGTCTGGAAAACAGATTTTTTTTTTTCGCCGTAGACATGATAAATAATAGAGAAATCAAGTAAGGTTGAGTAGCGTATTCGTTATTGGCAATTGCTAGCGTGAGCTAATTGTTCTACAGCGTTTGAAAGTTGACTAAAATTGAAGTTGTAGCGATGAAATTATGAAATGGTAATTTCAGGTTCAAGGCTATATAAAACATAGTATAGAAAAAAAAAAAACATATATATATATATATATATATGCTTAAGTATGTTTGTTCGTGTCTGCGAATGTCAGAGAATGGTTAGTTTGACTCAAGCAAATGTTGGAATATAAACAAATAACTCTTAAAATAGCCCTTCATCTTACAGGGTTGTCGTAAAATCAAATGAGCTTTTTCCACCACTGCTCGGAATATAATTACAACTGCCCGGTAGGTAAAATAATTCTTAACGAGATGAAAACTGCTCGAAGAATCGTTACTCTACAGGCAGATTTCATTTCATTTCATTATGTGCTTTTGAATTTTTTTGTTTGTGTGGAGCCTCCATAAGCGTCAACAATCGACTTAGGCATAAATAATTCTGTTCAGGGGGATTTATTTTTTTTTACTGACTTCATTAGTAAAGGATATTTAACAACGACAATCTTTATATCTTTGTACGAAGTAAAGTACACAATATCTTTAAACGCAGTAACACCTCATATTTCCCAACAAGGTAGTCGTGTTTTAGTTCAGCAGGCCGCGACGTAACATGTAAAAAAAAAAAAAAAAATGAGTCCGTTCAATGAAAACGACTACTTCAATCTGTCTTAACGCATTACATATTAATTGCTTTGAATATATCCCTATGAAGTGCGTTATCAAAGGTGCGCATCGGTGGACTGAACATGTTATTAGGCGAATATCTAAGTGTTGTTAAAGAAAACACTCTGGTCAAATATGCATTAAACAGAAACAATTAATCGTGAATATAAACATATGCTGTGTGTTGATAGCGGACTAATAATAAATTGATGTGTTAAGTGGTATCTAATTGTGGCTTCAAAATTATCACCAGTCAATGTCGACATCGATCCAACTGCCCTAAATTCTACTACAAAGCCTACTTTTTCACCCTAGTTACCTAGACGCCCACAGGATTAATGAAATCGTCAAATTGCACGTTATGTAATTGGCTTAGACGTGTGAATTATTGTTAAATTCGGATAGAAATTTTTGATTTAGCAATTTGTCAAGCTTGTCTGAACAACTTGGTCAGATGTAGACCATAGTAGTCTCGCAAAGATATAGAAATTTATTATTGCCATACCTTTACGGAACGTAGTTTAGGATCATGCCAGACCATATGAGCTTACAAACTTAAAGGAATCCGATTATGGTTATGTTTTTTTACGATAACAATTAAAGCTGAGTAAAGTACCGCGAAATCGAGCATTTAACCTAATCACTCGTGTTCGGTGCTCAAGTGCTGTACCTGTCGCACCTGGACCTGTACCTTACCATCTTGCGTTTGGCTACTTACTCTTCGAAGCCATATGCCAACAATATGAAAAGTGCCGTACGGCGTAAGAAATTCGTTAAGAAGATAGCTTTTCTTCAAATACATTTCAAGGGCTACCTCTGATCAACGATATGTAACGATACATAGTATTTACGTATCTGTTCCACAAGTCATCTTCCTTGGAAACAGTGTAATTAGTTCCCTGCTCTTAGCGTCAAGTTCTCTTCAAGAATAGGCCCCTTCATCAATTATAGGTAACAAGGCACGTAGTAGTCTACAGTTTCTTTGCTTAGCCTTCAAGTTGTAGCGCTCGCCATTAATCCATGACGTGCCCAAATACCTTTTTATTGAGCGATAAAGCTCACTTTTTTATATTATGTCTCTATTCGTTGATAGGTATGTCGTGAAAAGTGTTCGGTTTTAAGAAAATTATCAATCAATACAGCGTAACATCTTTTTGACAATGTTATTTTCTGAGTTTTTATTCTGGCCGCTTCTCTGGAAATTCTAAATATCATTTAACTCATGCGCTGTTATTATTGTTATTCTGAACAATGTAAACACGGAATGGCCTTTTTCTTTTAGGGGGGTTCGAGGGCGAATGCGTTATGCAGACCAAATTTCGCCGCTGTGGTATTCGCCTGGCACTATGGAATTCTCTCTTATTAAGCTTGGGGGGCTTAAACCTTAAATTATAACTAGTTCGAGTATAAGATCACTTTGAACCACGAAACAACTGGGAAGAACGCGTATTAGTGAACGAAGAGTCCAAGAAATAACGCGTTGACTTCTCTCATTATGGTAGTCTCTGAGCTAATATCGATGTCTCTCAGGCCTGTATAACCCACAAGATTAACAATGCCGAGAACAACACGACATTGTCGGTTGTAAACACGGCCATGATTAGTGATCTCAAGCGGAAACAAGACCGACCCCCCGGGGGGTGATTTCAAAATGCTTTGAAATTCCAAAGTCGGCCTGGCGGCTGGCACCGTTACAGCATAAAGTGCAATATCACTGATACCGGTGAAATGTCATTACGTTATATACCGGTACGTAAATGTAACGGGATAATTGTTTAAAACAAGGGTCAATAAAACGTATGTATTTCAATGTTTTTTCATTTGTATTTGCGTTACTTATCTTTGACAGTATACGTAAGGTCATAATACTGCAGTAATCGGCTTAAACTAATTAAATGTCTTCGAGTTGTGCTATATTTATGCCTTATGTATCCGCTTCGCTCTGCATCCCTGTTGGCGTTCTGTAAGAACTCTTTTCGAATATTTTCTTTTTTTCAATTTTTTCCTTGCCTACCCGTTTGTGATTTGCTTTAGATTCGTTTGCAGTGCCAGCTGCACATTATGATTATTATTACTATTTCGTGCATTTAGCCTATGAGCCACATTGTATCCACTTGTGTCAGGCAGTATATATTCAAAGTGTTGTTATCTATGTGTTTACCTCAAATGATACCTTCACTTATTGCTCTTTAGCTGAGGAACTAGGAACTTACACTTCATTGTAGAAATGTGTGTAGACACATGCACCCGAGACGCATGTGTCCACGCCCGTTTCTACAGCTCTCTGCATCCTATCGAGACGATCGAATGCCTCCACAGTAGCTAGTCTATGTAAAAACGTTCGTTTTTATAAATTGCGACCTGTGAAAAAAATGTTATACATTTACAATTACGCTTGTAGCAACGTCTTCATTGTATGCTTTGTTTTGGTCGTATTTAGCTGATTTTTGATTTCCTCGCTGCTTCCTTCATAAAGTTATTATTCGTTTCATGACCTGAATTCTCAAATATTCACGAATATTTTTTGTATGTAATTGGATTTTTATATGGAGTGTGATGATACTGATTAGTTACGTCACAGCTTCAGCAAAGATCACATCAGTGCTCTTCCCCCGCGTCAAATGAAAATCGGCTGATTTCTACAGCAGTCTTGTCCCGTATGTTTGGCATTTCCTATAATTAATCTGTTTGCCCCGACTATTATATTGTTGACGAAAAATATAAGGCTAGATCTCGACTGTTTTATCTCTAATTTGTTATAATAATAATAAAATACTATTATGTGTTAATTTCTACCGGTCATTTGTAACCCGTTGCTTACATATACACGTCCAGCTACAGTTTCCATATGAGTAACAACTACAACTACGCCTGCTCATGGAGTATTACAGCTGTACTTAATCGTTCAGGTAATTGGGCAAAAATGCCTCTCCACTCTTCATCTCGGTCCCTTTTCCTCATTGTGCTCTATAATATATTTCTATCTATTGTACTGAACGTATTTTCTACGTTTAATCGAGGCTATCAAGTTAGGTATCTAGCCATCTGAATAACTCAATCAAATTTTTGAAGTTCCCTGTGTTGCAATTTGTTCTTCCTAGCCTGAATACCTACTTTTTGTCCACTTCTTTAATACGCTTTTCGAGGACCTATGGAAATCTACTAATAATACTCATAATGGTAGTTATAATCTCTTAATAACTTAATGAATGAGATGTCTGAGAACTGTCGTTAGGCATGGCTTGAGCCCCAGCACGAGACGGTATTGTAAGCTGCAAACGTCTTCATGCATTATGCAGCCTATCCTACATATAACTTGGTTCTTCAGTGCTGCAGAACTTTCACTCATCACCCCTAGACCCGGTATCCTTGACCCCTGATTCGAAGCTAATTCTAATTTACTTCAAATTCCGGTTTCGAACATAGATCACCTCACATGACCCTAGGTTCAATAGGCAAATTATAACCCTTTATTAGACGTTTCATGCTTTCGTAGAATTGGACCTTTTCGTATTCTTATTAAAATCTGCATTAGCTGGAGCGCCCCGTCAAAACGAATTCGCACACCCCAATGTCTTCTTGAATTACTCAGGTCCGATCTCCAAGATCATTTTATAAATCAATAATAGATATTTATATGCATAAAAAACTTAACAAGTATACTTTTTTCGAATGAAGTTTTTTTATTCAAGAAAGTTGGACAAGTGCAGCTACTAATAATACGTAATTCCTTTAGATTTCGTATGCTGTTACATACGGAATTATGTTAAAATAAGCCGAAAACGCATGCTATTTGTAATCGCCGCACTTGTTGGACGGTTACCCTCAAAGCTGTCTCTATTGTTAGCTGATTCCACAGCTAAGGGTCATTTTGGTTAGGTTGGTTTTGTGATTGTACATATATCGTCAATAATAAACACCCGAAATGTTCTTGCTATATAAATAACAATCTGTACTCCAACGATTGGTAATTACTATCCCGATAATGAAGATAAATTCCTGAATGAAGTGCTTTCTGCAATATCCACGCGCGCGTACTTTCTTATTATTTCTAAAATAGACAGTTGCGCCCAGACCTGTTGCAGTCTATTTTGCACGTGCATGTGCACGTAAGGGCCCGCTAGCTACTTTTTAGGAAATAACAATTAATATCATGCTTGAACTTTGGCTATGTCGTTTACGAGGCATAGTCATTTGTTGGAATAATGTGCATACATATGTATGTGGATTATAAGAGGCCAAACCTAGTATCGTTGATTCCGTACGTACGTTAACATTACAGCGGAACTCGCGTGCCATTGTTCATAAATAGAATACGAATGAAGCTCTTGTTCATAAATAGAATACGAATGAAGCTCAATCGACAATTCTGAAGAGTTGAATCGAATCTGCACGGCCGATCTTGCATCTAATTAGGTACATGATGGCTGCTACAATACCGCAAAGCTTGCTTTCTGTAATAATTATTTATTTGAATTTGCTTCGGCAAAATATGTTGCATCTGATCATTTTACAAAGGCAAGTCCTCAAAGTGTCCTTCGTTCCATTTAATGCTACTAGAAATGCGGCCACGTACCGATAAACCCAATAGATTCAATCAATGAGTACTGCTACATATGGCAATATAGAAATTGTATATTGCCCACTCTGCATTACCTACACTGCTGCCTATTTGACGCACCAACCTGGTAAGCTTCGAGTAGTACAACAATATGTTTGATCGCTTTGCTAAATAGTCATATAAATCAATACAGATTAGTTAGGGTTCTTGTTTGCTCCTTGTGGCAAGCAAATTGTATTATCTCGAGCTCCTAATATCTCTCCAGCCAGCTTCGTGTCTTAAATCGGTTTTTATCACAGACGGTTCTTGCCGACTAGTTGCATGACGAGAAGCACAGCAGATGGCGAGACGAGTACGCAGGATACCATCTCCTGTTTAGAGTTGTTTCCATCTAATTCTTCGGCGTCAGTCAGATCTACACGGACAAGGTCGTGAAATCCGGCTGCCTCAGGGGGGAACAAGACCCATTGTGCCTGTGAGAATGTTTACGCAGTGAAAAACTTAGTTAAACAAAACGACTCGCACACGTGAAGATTTCGGCTGTAACAGCCTTGCGGTCTGCTGACAAAAATGCTAGGCATAACGAAACTGTATGAGTAAGTTGGGAGTATTTAGTACCCCACAGGTTAGGTTGGATCAAACGGAAGTATTTCGCATGTTTTCTAGAGGTTACTCATGCGAACCAAGCAACAAGCGAACTTGCCTTTCGTGACAATAACGGCGGACGAGGGTGAAATAAAGTCTGAAGTTGTCTATTGATGATTATGTCCACTAAACGTTCGTTGTATTCGTCAAGAAATTAAGTAAACAAATGATGTGATAGCTTGCAGCGCGACCCATGAGTACATTAGGTCTAAGATTAACCTTGTTCGGGACCCCGGGCAAGCTGATATTGGATTTCGTTCCAGTTTGGAACACGTAATATTCAACTTACCATTATACGCAAGGGCGTACGGACTGAAATTTACTCTGCTACAGGCAACTTCTTATATACTGTCTAAACAGAAGCGTTGCTATGGATACAGAGTGTTCCTGTCGTCAATGGCGGCTTGCTTGCAATCATTATGTTGCCGAATTAGTTATCCTACGTCCCAGATGAATCCAGCTCCGTAGAGGACGAGGGCGTATGTTTTATTCTAATATGTCATTATAAAGTTCGAGAACTTGTCACTCCTCAACAAAATCTCTAGTCTACGAAACCCATTTCTACACTAAAATTTTCGAAGTTATATTCTTCTACAGCTGCAAACTTTACCGTGATCATACTTGCGATAGCGATAATAAAAACAATGTCTACATTTACGTTGGAAGAGGGTAGCTTTCCTTCTTTTATCTAGTGCTTAGAATATCGAAAAGTTTACTGTGATCAATAATGACGACATGAGCGATTATCGATGGTGGTAAACCGTAGTGATGACAAATCTGTTTGGCCATTTATCGAACGACAATAATATAGTTTTCATGCGCGTATTTGTCAAGACCGTTGCCTACCATTCGGTTGAGTCGTTGACGAATTTTCCATCTGGAGATTGCGACGAAACGATCGACGGTGGGATCCTCCAAAAGCCAACTACGCCACATTCTCCTCCATCTACCATTCCTATGGCTGCTAAAGGGAATCAACTTGACAAGGTTTCCCACAGCTTCAGAATTGGATTTTCCGCCTTCAAGTAAGCAGTCAGCATCAAACAGTAATGGCTCGAGCGGAGTTTTCTTTTTCAGTGTCTGAAGGTTTTTGGGGCACCTACGATAAACTGCCTCAGCTTCAAAAAGTTCCATCTCGTTGCAGAAACGACGAAGCAGCCGACCCCCTCCATCGTCAATTTGCCTAGTCTCTGCGGCTATGTCTTTACGATAATTTCGAAAGTGTGCATCAAAGTTGGCCTCGACATACAGCTGTAATCGAAGAGCATGGGCACCCGTCACACCGCAGACTGACGAAAGGCTCGTAGTCCCAACCTGCATGAAAGGTAGTCATGATGAAATGGAAAGCACTATTATATAAAGACCATATGTTTTGTGTCTAAGTTCTTCCTCAACTATGAGCGACCTATACGATCAAGGTTACGGTACAACTGTTAGTGGTGAGATGTCTTGATTGGTATACGTACTTGGCTGACTCTGCAACTGAACAATGGTGCCATAGGAATTCCATTCATTACAGGAAAATGTATGTCCAAACATGACGTAGGGTCGCCTGGGTCCGCTTCCAACTCTGGATTCAACCGCTGGACGGTGACGTAATTTGTCTGCAAAAACCGGTGTTTTCTACAAAGTAGATCCCGTTCTCGGCCTTGACCAAGCTCCGTTAACTTGTCGATTACGCCTTGGGTCAAGTTATTACGAAAGTTGATTGTAGGATTCTAAATGAAGAAATCAATTTAAAGCAAGATTTAAAAAAAAAAGAGCTATTACTACTTCCCTTTTATTACGACAAGCGAAAAATGTTTGCACAGCTAATAGTGTTGGTATAAAACTCACTGTAATTACGTGGGAATTGGGAACGTCCCAATCCGCTAGGAACTTTGCTTAGCCAACTTTTTGGCCAAGATTAGGATATAGTCGTAGCGAGGGAACCTCATTAGGAAACTATTTGCCAGACACGTACCAACTGAAACTAAGAGGGTAGGTCCAGATATTTCCTCTCCGTGTAGCATTTTGCGCCCAGAGCGCACAAACACTAATAAAGAAGTGTTTAATATACAGCGGCGTCGTGGCTGACTTAGGTTGGGTCTAAAATCTACGATGTAATCGCACGACGATGCTGGCCATTAATTTTCAAGCGCAAACGATGCCATCAGTCTCATACAGCAAATGATATTTCGGTAATCAGTTACCAATTGCCGTACATCAACTGCGGGATGCAAGCAAGCATCCTTCAATATCCAATACATCGACGTGGAACTCTCAGTTTACCTTGGTAACTTAACTTCACTTATTATTATTATTAGTATTATTGCTCTAATTTGGCCACAGGCCAGTGTGGAAACCTCTCAATAAACTTTACTCGAGATTTAGCGGGTTCAGAAGGAGATAAGGTAATCTAAATAGAAAGCAAACATGTACTACCTTGCGTTTGTATAGGCCGATATCGTAAACATATCTTCTCCTGAGCACCCCAGCGGGCAGCTTCGAGGGGTCATCCTCGTATTGCTCATATGATGCCTGTAAAATCGTCCGTTCAATTGTAAACAACGGGTCATGGATGCGAATCCAACTTTCGTAGGCGTTTTCGTAATCATCGCTGGAAGAACCGTTTTTCTCTTCGTCGGTCAATTCCTTGCGTCGCTTTGAGGACGTTTCATCTACTTTACCCTTTGGAAAGCGCACTTCTTTTTTCTCCGGGTTACGTTCGCGCCACGCTTTCTGTCGGTGATGATGAAGTTTTCGAAAATGATGCGAAAACCAATCCGAAATATAGGGGTCACCGTCAAGGACAGATACATCTTTGAGTACTTCGTCCCAACGGCCAAACGCATATTCTTCGAGATGGGCGACCCAAAGCGAGTCATCGCGGCGGATGAGCTCGAACAACTCACGTGAAACTGAGGCGAGACGAAGGAGGTCACCCGGTGACAAAAAGCTAACGATTCGTCGGAACGGAAGTTCTGGTAGACTGTTTAAGGCAAAACATGCGCTCTCAGCTGATTCACTCATAGCTTCTATATTCCTGAAAACTAAAAGGTTGATGATTATATAATCTCGCATCAATATATATATATATATATATTATAACAATTAGTTTTGCTTCAGAGACTCTTAGACTTGCGTCTCATTGAAAAGATTACCTTTTGAAGACACTAAACTTCAAGAAAGCTATCTTCTAATGCTAATACTGCCCTGCTAAAAATACGATTTAGATACTTCTTATCTCTCAAACTAGCGCCTTACAACAAAACTAACAACCAAAACTCCCAATAATAAATTGATCTACAGTCTGCTTATAGTGTTGAATAAATCAATGCAAATACACAGTGAAAATATCTCTATAATTATAAGAAGATTTAGTTATCTGTACTTGATGAGCCCTCCTTTTTCGAGTACAGTTCAACAAAGCCCATTATCCTTTAAGTCGTTAGGTCATATACCGTAGGCGTATACTTTATACATCCCTAGGAGCCGACATTAGTATTTGGTTTCTGGCAGGCTACGCCTGTACTCCACGTGCGCATATAGTAACGCGTATAGCGCAATTCCGCTACAATCCCATGCTACAATAGATCTCTCCTTATATTCGAATTTCCACACGTGCCCCTCCAAACGTCCTTATTGGTGTTGGGGTTATACCACAAAGTTAGCTCTCTACTGTTGTCATCGACCGCGAGCGTCGACCGATAGCCAAAGCATTTTTCAGCGGAATCGGCGTGTTCCTGGCCGTGGTCGAGGCATTGACCCCAAGGTTTATCTCCCTTAACGTCAAACAGTGGATGGTGGCCTTGGGACACGTGCCTGGGCGAGAGGGTTGGCCTGCGCAAAGTGGCCAAGGCTGGCAAACTAGGCCCCATGTAAAGCAACATTTAGCCCCAAGCGAGCAGTCGCACCTAGCTAGGTTGCTGGATCCACGTGTCAGATCGCCCTTTCTCTCAGTGAAGCCGCCAACACCGCAGCCGCTGCTACAGCGTCGCTAGCATCGGCTGATACACTCTCAGGGTACTCGCCGTCGTCGCTTCACCGCTGCGCGCCTGCGCTTGAATGCCTCAGTGCGGAAGAGTCCTTGTCTGCTCTGAGGGCCGCCTCCATCACCACAATCTGCGTTTGCCCCCCTAAAACCATTTCTGGTTCCCGTTGGTAGCGATAACCGGCGTTGTCATCGACTTAATCTGCAGTCATTTCAAGTCGAACGAGAAGACTATAAATAAAGGGTAAACGCCATTCCTTCGAATGGTTTGGTCGCAGGTTATGGTACGCTGTACTTTGATATAATGATCATTCCTAAGATAAATAGTGACAGTTTCGTTGAGCTTTCAGCTTCACTGTTCATAAAAACTACTTAGCTCTAGTGGATTATGTAGAAATGCAGGATCAGACCCACGCGCTGCCTATTTGAAAATAGCGTGGAACATATCTTTTACCGCCTGCGTTCTTTTCCAGACACTTTACTTCTGGTATCAATTGGAAAATCGTATTTATAATTGATCGCAGAATATGTTAATGAAATCACTAATTAGAGAAAATGCTTTTGTAACATAAGCTCAATTTTAATTCTATATGTGGGAGGCTCGCGAGACGCGTGACCTCCCATTTCAATACCTCGATCGAACTCTGTGATGATCTTTCGTCACCTTACGGAATGTTCAACTGCGTTCTAAACTGCTGAGTCTCCGTATTTATTATTGGTACAACATTTTATTTGGTACAACATTAAATCGCACACCCTTTCAACATATATATTCATAACGGAACCCTTTTACCCGATCCGCAGCTTATGAAGAATCTTTCAATCTAATGGGCGTATATCGTATTTAAATGATATTTTTAAACGCCTGTTTCAGTCCTGTTTTATCAACAAGACGTCGCTTGCTTTCAATCCTTTTACGTGCATATGACAGACCTCTTCAGTCGGATGAAGCACTTCGTGCTTTGTGATCATTTGGCCAGCTACGATGAGTATCTCATCATGCCTTAATAATGCTGGACGATTACTATTCTAAGGATTCATGCCATTTCTCTGATTACTTGCTAGCATCTTGTCTTAGCAGGACCAGAACAATCGCTAATAACGGCGATGTTCCTCATGCGTTAACGCCAGTGTTAATTAATAATAACAATAACGAATAATATCTGACGCATCCAGTCGTTAATATTTTACTTCTGATGGTTAAACCGTTAGGCACTTGATGAAACAGTGCGTCTACGTATGGATTCGAACCTAGACCACATCGCGTGTACCTGCGTCTAACAGGCAAACACGTTACCCCCTCTATAACTACGGGTTTAACAATCCATTGGTGAAATAGTATGGAATCGATATATGCATAGTATCCAGTCGAATCTGAACAGATCTCGTTCCTGTAATTCAATTTCGTCGTGTCGTGTTTTTACAAGGGAGATCAGAATATAATCAAAAGGTTTAGGTTTAAAACGCTTAGAAGCTGTCCTTGATATTTTTACAGCTTTTATACAGAAACGAACAGCCTCCTTACACCGAAGAAGAGCAATTGTCAATTCAGTCATTCAAATAAGCTCATTCTTAATACAATATATTATGCAGTTTTTTTTTAAGACTTCTCTCTTCATTTGGCATTTGTTTGGATTTTTGGTCGTTTTGAACCCTTGCATTTTTGGAATCATCCCAAAGTTTTATTATTCCCCAAATATATTTTTCGTATATAGCACATCAACCATTAAGAAGGAAATAAGAATAGAATATATTAAGGAATTAATAACGACTAGTTGAGGTTTCTAATTGAAGATATAATCGCAGTATATGGCGGTTATATTGAAGAGACGTGACGACTAACAATGACGCTTCTAGTGTACGTAAAAAGATCGTTGAAGTATACGATAATATATATAAGTGTTTGTTTAGATACAAACCTAAAAATCTAAAATATATATATATATATATATATCCATGATGAGTTATTCTACATATTGCTTATTCTTAAATTTAACTAATAGGTGTTCAGATATTTTTTGGGAAAGATAAGGTTCAAATGTATCTCCGACCTGACTAAGGCCATAGGCAAGACTACGCTACCATTTCTATTAAAACTGGACACGAGTTTCTGTCTATCTCGTAACTCGTAACATTAATGTACGTATAATAGTTGATATGTTACAGCACTTTCTGTGTCTCGTCTACTGAGATGAGTTTCCGCATAGCGGAAAAAGTGTGCGACAGAGAGAGACCAGTCTAGCCTAGAATACATTCACATGGAATCCTCGAGGCAAGAGCTTCCAAGATATCTGTTTCCTACGGTGATTTTTGTTTGTCTTCTGAACTTTGTCGGTAGGACGAAGGAACTCAGCTTAACGCAGCAGAGCAATTTACCAAACGAATCGTCAACGGCCCGAACTGGCAAGCACAGGTATTTATTGTTACATTAAGAAGTCTGATAATACAAACACGAGTAATGATGACAACACAGAAACGTTGCGGTTGCATTGCAAAACGCGGAAGCGGAGACCTCCGCTACAGACGAACGTTTCTTCGTATACCAATTATTAAGGTTAGCAGGTGTCAATCCTGTTCTCCTCGTGTCCTTCAGAACCTTGCTGGTATATACTGGTAATGAACTTCTGTGTGAGCATAGACGTAGGTTGGTCACAGAGCATACAAAATGGTAAGTTGTCTCTTTGATAAACAACTGGATTTCCCTTAACCTAAGAAACAGTATTTTTTTTTCCAAAAGATACGAAAATATGTATTCTGCTTTTAAGTGAAACCGATAATAAAAATTGGTTTTCGCGAAATTATAATCTCGACATACGAATAAGAGAAACAACAACAAACTCTATTAGATTAATCTATCTTTACGTGCAGAAATCTGTCCGTGTTCACATGCTTATAGAATAATTTTATTATATTTTTCATTATAATGTAGTCAGTAATGATGAATCATCAATCAGCGGTTTCAATCCAGATAAATTAGTGATGCCTGCAGCTTTCGCCCTTTAAACAGGCCGTATGACCACTGATTGACATCACCAATATATTATAGGTCCTTGACTACGTTTCAATACGCTTTTAGTTCGGCGGCTGTAATGTCTTTTTATTCTTGCTAAAGGCCTTTAAGGACATTAATGTACTATGTACTAGGCTGCTACAAGGGAGTACTGAAATTGCATAACTTGTGAGCTACGCGTTGCATGTAGAAATTGGCTGATAAATACTCCTGAAAACTTCTGGGTGAAAAGCAGTGGAGTTCAGTCTGAAAAAAATCAGTTCTTGAAAATCAGTGCTTAACAGTGAAAGTTTTGTTCTTCAAAAGCCACAGCGTTCGAATAATTCATGAAGATATCAGGCAAGAAACCCTTAAGCGAAAGTACAGCACATGAATGGTACAAACGTTTCAAGAACGAAGATTGAAGACTAGCGAAGAGGTAACCAGATATCGGGATCCGAAGGTTAGAAACACATCACCGAATCGAGAGGGTTTTCACAGGAGCAGGGTCTGCAGTTTAAGAGCTCTGCCGTCTCATTTCATATGTAGCGTGGTACAGCATTACAACCCAAACACTGAAAATGCGGGAACTTAGCTAAAAAAAAAAAGGGTCCTCTGTGAATTGATTCCAAGCCAGTTAGAAATTCGTGTGGCGTATTTTAAGCGCAATATTCGGAACTTTAATCAACAAAAAACCCGCCTGAAGCACACGATCCCCATATGTGACATATGCCTCATCCTGAATCGACAGCCGGAGAACACCAGGATGGCGTCGCTCTAAACAAAAGTTCGGTGACAGATGAGTAGGACTAGAGCTAAGGTAATGGACGTGGTTACAATGGAGATCGAGGGGTGTTCAGTACCAGTACTATGAGATACTCGCTGAAGCTGCAGCTCGCTGACTCGAATCGACAGACTTATGGGCCGTTGACACAGCAACCGAAAGTCTGTGTTACGTGATGATAACGCTAGACTTCATCGCTATGCCCCAATAACTTCTTAGATTAAGCAAAAAATCATCCAGCGCACCTTCAACTCGCTTATTATTCCGATTTAAATCCGTACGGGACTTCCCATGCCCTAACAAGGGTAACTGGTGGGCAAGCACATCCGGTCATCGATTTACCTCGAGAAGATATAGAGAAGTTACATATGGGAACGCGAATGGTTGGTACATGGCTGTTTGGAAACTGCCAGAATACTCGTGGATGGCCTTGTATTTTAGGAGCTTCGAAACTTCCGACAAAAGGTATAACCTAACTAGCCGCTTTACACGTGCGAGGTATCTCAACTTATGTATGAAAATATACGAGAACCTAACTGCCAATAGCCGACCTTCATATAACTATCTTCCATATCTGCCGAATGCATAAATTACCTTTTGCATTGTCGGCTCCGGCTTATTCATTTATCATCACTTATCATTCAACGAGTAAGCCAATACATATATATACAGATATATGTGAGTTAATGGCTAAATCTTCGTTATTTCGCAGTAACAATGTAATGAATTGTGCTTGAATAGATTACAGTTAGAACGTGTTGATCAATACGAGTAGACTGGGGTGTGGCTTTTCACAGCCGAACTCATATACCATCATCGTGTCTATCCATTAGGGAGTATAGCCAATTGTAATACTGTCTAGCTATGATACAAGGTAACATACTCAAATACAGGCCGAACAGGTATAACTTCAACATAGCGAGCCTAGAAATAAACTCAACGATTAGACAAGATACAAGAAGCAACTGCAAAATTAAGAACATTGAACAATTTAACATTAGTAAATTCCACATAATTCTTTTTCTATAGAAGACCAGCTGCGGCGAAACTTCAACAAAACGAAAAACGTGAGCAAAAGGAATTTCGTGCTAGCGCAAATTATAGTAAGTTTATCGCAAAACAAAATGCGCAATAGGGCGGTAAGGACACGACAAGTTCCTCTATACAATAGCACGTTCGAAGCAAAGTATGTTTTATGCATCCTTACAAATACATATCTCTCTGGGACATTGTTACAGCAAATGAACACCTCACGTTCACCCGGATGTCGCTAATATTCGTAGACCCACACGCCGGCAATGGTATAAATGCGAAGCCTATCATTGCCAACATCGTTCTCTGCCTGTTTTTCCTAAAGAGTAAGGCAGATTCCCGAATAAACGTTTCGAGTTCCCTTATACATCCGGTTCTGCTGTAGAGGGCTGGCCTCTCGCATCACAAAATGAAGTGCGTCTACGTCTGCTGTCCAATCCAGACTATCTTGCGTGCCCCCAGATTTACCTGGGTGAACACTGCGTCATCACGGCGGCAAGGTGTAGGTTTCCCGGTGCAAGAGAACTGCTACTGCCACTTTTTCTATGAACTATAACTACGACAATTTGCGTGCATTCGTGTACTGCTGCCACGGTCGATTTCCAACGTCCGTCAGCGGCCACTATGGCTAACTTGGAAATGCGACCGTCCTCTTAAGAAATTATAGAAAGACATTACTGCGTCGCTAATTCGACAGCAACAGCGAATGTAGATGTTGTCGGCTTTCCACACGTTGCATAGGCCCGCGGACATGGCGGCGTAAACCGATCGGGGAAGTAAAGTAGCTGCTGAGCGTTGGTTAGCCTTTAGGAAAACAGACTGGCTGGCTAGGTAGGGGCAGAGGTGCAAGGCCAGTCACGGAGGCTATGCTGGCCGCCAGAGGCGTGTAGCTCAGGCTGAAGCGTTGGTTAGATAGACAAATCATAAGTAAACGGAATTCAGGATGCAATAAGGACATCTTACCGGTAACTAGATCGTAGCTTTGTGGAAGCACAGAGGAACGGAACAGCTTGGCTAGGTGCTGCAAGAACTTTTCTCTTTTGGAGAAGACTGAGCGTTTATGGACCTACCGTACCTTCTTTGAAGATGCAGACGAGGCAAAGACAAGTGCACTTTCAAAATCTCTTGCTTTGAGTGATGATATCATACTAGCGGCCAATAGGCTTTAAGCAATTTCTCTGAAGTTATTTGTTGCGAACACCGGAAAGTTATATTCTATAAGTCGCCTGCTTCTCGATTCCACAGACGATGAACCGATACGAACGAACCCCCGAAAAATCGTTCTGACCATGAGATTCTCTATATTCGTGGCAGATTTCTCACTACATTCATAGTCGTTTGACTTTAATCCATGTGCCGGCGGACCCAAAGCAGCCCTTGGATGCAAAGCCCACTTTGGTTCTTCCATCCACGGAGGCGGGCCCTCTATCCTATCGTCATATTCTTCCGTTTTTCGTTCTCAGACACCGCCTACGAAGTTTGCTCGCATTGGCCAAAGTCTAAACAGGTGTGCAAAGATTTGGCGAGAGTCGTACAAGCGCGCCTGCTTCCTGGCGAGGGCTGAAAAACCGGCCGGCGTCCCTTACTCCGGTATGCACAAGTCAACTAGGCGCTAGCGATCTCTATGCACAGCATTGAACCTGTCAGTGCAATTTAAGCAGAACTTGAAGGTGCATAAAGCACCTACTGAAAGCGACCAATAACGGCGATCTTTGAGCGGGAGCCCAGTCCCGATATATGTCGCAACAAAACCTGCTATCAAACAGGTTGAAATCATGTTGCAAATAGCTGTGGCCGGGCGTCAGCTAGAATAAAAAGGGCTTTCTATTACTGATCAATTAGGATAAGAACAAAATAATAGAATCAACACGACACCTCGTCGTACTAACCATGGAAGATATCCAAAAGAAAATCGGCATCACACAAACATAAACAGGTCGGCAGAATACTTGTTAATAGGGTCATCCCGCCCTTCCCTTGACAGAAGAGTGAGCATTCCCTAGATATTTGTCTGCAACTGTCAGACGATCTTCCAGTACATTTTTCCATGTATGGCCATATTCATGTGAACGTAAACCATATCCACCTACCATTGCCGTGTATCCAAGGGTGACGCAGGCTACGGTTTTGCTGCACCAGCACAGATACCCAAAAGCTGTGGCTGGCTCGCTTTTAATTAAGGAGAGGGTCGCATTACAAGCGAAATCTAGCTGGTCTGGTCTCCCGGTCGTGCAAGCCTACAAACAGGCTCTACAAGGCCAGCCACGTCATAGGCGAGTCTAAGATATAATTTGCCATACGCCTGTCTAGCACAGCACAACGTTGGAAAAGAACGACTCTACGCCGTCAGTACTGAGTAAGATTATATACATATAAGAAGGAAGTGGAGTTATTTGTCTCGAGAGAAGAATATTGTGGGGTGATCCTATAACATGGTTTGGTTTTGAAGTCTCTGCGTTTGTTTATTAAATCTCATCGCCGTTAGAGCTTCTCGGTGTCAGTCAGCGTTCCAGTTCAGTCGTTCGCTCGTAATGTTATACTTCGAGTTTGAAGTAGAACGCTTCTCTATGACACACATGACATTTTCAATCAGTCGTCTTTATATTATTTGTTATCATTATTATATTAAGCTAATGATCTATTTAAATTGTTGGGATGTTGATCGCTAATCAAATGCACGCCATGGCATTTGTTTAGATTTAGAATCCAAACTATATAATTAGAATAACTTGGCAATGTATAAGATGGATGGTGTGTTAATTACAAGATAGCCACTTAGAGCCTTGGACTACGTTATCAATTGGTGATCTGAGCAAGAGAAGGAGAGGGAGTAATGCTGTTATTGACTAGGGATATATACGTATGTACATACATACATACAGGCAAACTTTAATTAGATGCTTGTCATAGTGGGTATGCGTAAGAAAAAGCCAATTTCTTACACACCATAAACGCATCACACTGCGGCATCTTTGAAGTTTGAATAACGATCAGCTGTTATCGCTGGACGAACGTTCACTAAGGTAGAAACACGCCCTTTTATGTTTGGAATAGACGATCTACGTTACCTCCAGTTTTTATATGGTATCTGGAACATCTGAGGCGGCGATTCTCAATGAGAGTTTCGATTTAAATGACTTGAAAAATCTACCAAAATGGCTCGACAGACCATTTATGATACGCCAAAGTTTTTGGCATATGAAATTTATATGTATATATATATATTTATATATGGAACATTTATAATACATAAAAAAATATCAGTTGTTGTCTAGGTGCCGTCTTGGAACCAACTCGTAGGAGAAAAAATACCGTACTTAGATGCATTCTGTATTGAACACGTGTTGGATAATGATCGAAAAAGTATTCACCGTTTTTAAGCTAACATTGAAGCAGCTACTTTTTATACTTAAATGTTACTAAATTTACTGTGCTACGCTGTTTTTATTAATGATCTCTGGCCATTTTTTTTTTTTTGTAACACTAAAAGCCTATCACTGTGGAGTTTGTTTTTTAGGCGACACATTATTTATTAGAACAACATTAAGGAAGTCCTGCAGACACCGCAACAGATGATAGCTTGATGGTGCAAGAAGTGCGCTGCGTTGTTATGATGGAAACCAACGACCTTTCTGATCACTAGTTCCAGATTATTCTCTTCAATGACTTTTTTTCTAGATTTTCTAATTGTTGATAGTAACGGTCCGGATCGATCGTTCTGCCGGATGACGGCGTCTCCTTTCCGGTCGCATCAAACACATAGCATCACCTGCCTAAACGTCAGTCCCCGGTTTCGTTGTAGAATATAGAGCCTTTTCTAGCTTTTTCTAAAAGCGACATTATTGTCGTATGTGATATTTTTCATCACCCGTGATCAGTCGCTTTAAAAATCGCTTGATTCCATTTCTGTAGAGCTTCGAATTGGGTCAATACGTTTGTGTCAATTCGTACGTTACCTAACCATCGAACGTAAAACCGTATGCTAGTCAATGCTAAGTTTCTTGGTTATCTTATGGCTACGCAGATATCGGTTTTCCTCTATGTCTTCTTTTTCATCTTCCTTCACTTGTCGATCACTACAAAAAGCATTTTTCTCATCGAAATTTTCAGAGCCAAAGAAACAGAACCGTCTCTAGGCCGCATCTTTTCCAAAAAAGCGCAATTTTTTATAGGTTTGGACGATTTTTGAGAAAATTGTAACGTAGATAATCTTAGCGGGAAGTTACTTATCTTCAAGACACTTCGTCTCAATTGTGGATAAAAATTGCACATCTACTACTGTCGAATCTATGCTTCTAAGTGAGACCACTGCCGACCCAACGCGAGCCATTTAGGGGAAGATGTTGCTTCATAAGACGTATACGAGGCTACGAATGCCGCCTGTCAAGCAGCTAGATTATCCTTGAACGGGTTTCTTGGCCCAATCCAATGAGACTTGGCGTATGCGTTGGGTTTTCTCATTTTAGGAAGTTTTTCACTGTTTAAATTGTACATTGAAATGGACCTTCCAGAAAACAATACTCCGCAGATATTTTTACGCAAAAGCACATAAACAAAAGTACGAAATGACATCAAAATTTTTTTGATGCTGTTTCGGACAGTACTTCTTGCAAACCATTTATTAGCCAGATCGTCTAGCGTAGTAGTTCATTGATCTTCTTCTATAGGGCTCACGTATTTTACCGGCTTTAAAAGGATTACGTCAAGTACAGGGGGAGGAAGCGTAGTATGTACAAATGAATTAGCCACAAGCACTGTTCGGAGAACTTGCTCCAGATGTGGCCACTAGTGCCACATATATAAGTAAAATAAGACACAGAGACTTATCTGAAACGTGAATCAATTTAATGTGAATGTATATCCGTATAGCAGAAATCCTAGAACTAATACAAGTGGTTCTCCTTTTTCTGCATCAGTTGGAAGATAATGAAGTTATTTTCACTAGAAGAGCTTTTTTGGCATATGCACATGGATCATTTCTTATCGACTTATATATGACAATATCCAACCATGGGCCGCCCCTAAAGCCTTTGCTAACGCTCATTGTTTTCCAGCTTTCCCAGCGCTCAAAGGTGGACAGGCTAGTCGCGAGCGTTCTTGCTGTAGGCGGTGCTCTATATGAGAAAACCATATACTGCAGCACAATCTGAGTACTAATTGTATTACGCTTTACAGTACTTTATTAATCCTTATATCTGAAAGTAATCTAAGGAGCTCTTAACGAATCGTATACATGTAAATTTGTGATTTGCATAATATAATAAATTATGGCTAGTTTATAATCAATGGCTTGTTTGAGGCAATCGACAGTAGAATACGTTATGCCACCTATCGTCCTTTTTAAGGCATGAATACGAATCATATGAAATTCGGGACAATGTGGAGACTGATGCTATCGCTCAATTCGGTTGTGTTTAATTTAGGTTGCAATTGAAGCGTGGCGATGAACTCGTTCGTTATCACTGTCGTTTAGCACGTCATATACCCATAACCGACTACAAAAGTTCGAAATGTTAGACAGATACCACTGACCCCTTCCAATTTTTGGAGTAACAAAATGCAAAAAAAAAAAGCAAATGCTCCTGATGCTTATTGTAAGAATGGGCATTAGCTTGCACCCGGATCTGCTCGGCATTGCCACAGAAGTTATCCATATTAAATCAGCAGGGGATGCATCGTCTATGCTCCATTTTTTAAGAGCTTCCGTGATCACAAAAACGTGTTCCTCCTGAGGCTCTGAGATGTAGACACCTCCTCTGTGATTTTCAGTCTCCCGATTTCCATTTTGAAATCGGGTGCTCTATTAGTATACTGTTTTATTTATTATATTAAAAGCCTTTTTGTCTAAAGGTTCCATCAGCCATCGACGAGTTACAACAGCGCTGTCAGTTTTTTCGGCTAAGCTATTGATAATCACTATGCATCTTCCAAAAAATAAAAATTATAAGGTAAATAAAAGTAGATCGGAAGCAGACCGACGCACATGGCTCAGGTCTTGAATTATAATTGAGTTGAATGGAGATTACACAGAAAAAACACGACCGCCAGGGGTGATTAGCATGTGCCAAAATCATGTTGAATTCTCGTTTTTCTTCAGGTGGTTTTAGAAACAAGGCATGATAAAAAAATTCCAATTAAAAGTCAACATGCTGCCTGTAGTGGTATTATAAATCTACTTTAACTCAACGTCACTACAGGCTAGGTATCCTCTACCTTTCATTCGGATCGGAGAAATCACATTGGAATAGGAGAAAATCCGCCCAAGTCTCCATACTAAGCAAATTTCGAAAATCAAAGAGAAACTTGACTTTTTATAAGCTTCAACTCGTATTTCTATTCATGTATGACCAATATTTTCTTAGTTAAGTTCTGCTGCTAAAACATGCTCTCAAACTTGTTAAAGGCTACGATCATAAGTTTAATATAGCTCAATATATTTAATATAGTTTTAAAGTTTCTCTTGATACACTTGGTGCACTAGAAGATTCCGAATTTCGCCCGTTTATTTCGACAAAAGCTCGACATAGATGAACTTCAAACGTTGTCAATCAATAGACTCGAAGAAATATAACGAAAACAATTTCGCCTCCTATATGACGCAACTCACATCTCATCACAACTATCATCACAAGGTCATTGCTCGCCGTTAAATATGAGTAAACAATTAAATAATAACCGATATTATTTTTGCGTGGCGTGTACTTTTTTTGACATATTTCTCCCTCGGTGCTGATATCGCATTCAACCACAGTAATATGATATAGAGCGCAACAAATGCGAGAAATATAGTACTCTGATTTTGTTAATATACTGGTCATCTAAGAGGCACCGTCACTGCCCAGATCTACTCGAATCGGCGCGCATATCACTTTTGGAAGCAAAAGCTTCAACGAAGTGTTCCATGGTTACGGCCTTCGACTAATTTAGAAGGCCGGACAAACGATTTACCAGCTTAATAAAAAAAAAAAACCGAAATACATAGGCAAATGATAGGGCTTCTTTCCTTTGCCTCTCCTGACTGAGGAAGTTGAGAGAGAGAAGCCCGATTAACTTTGCAGCGGCTGCAAAATTGACAATCTCTGTGGAACGAGTCCAGTAAGGGAACTTAAGAAAAAAGAATAGTTGAGTATCCCTTTGACATTAAGCAGCAGGCTGCTGCTGTAGAACGCCAGGATGTTCCGTAGCGTGCACCATATTAGCTGTTTAAAATAATTAATTCGATCTAAATAAACAATCTGATCTCTCTTTTTCATCTCCACCGTTAAAAGTTTAATCAATTTCATTATCTGATGCGTTTGTAGGGAACAGAATGGCTGTGAAAATTGGTAATTTTATAGTAGCTATTGTTTTCCGTGATCGAAACCAAATATGTTGTGAGAAAAACTAACAACCTTAACACTCAATATGGGTTATTTTTGATAATAACAAGGTTTTTAGGTAAGTCTTAACATTGTTCACAAGATATTTCAGGGCGCACTTATAAAAGGAAAAAATAAAAAAGAAATTTCAAAAATCAAAGATAAAAATAATTTTGAAAATTAAAAAATATAAAAATATACTTAAAGAAGCGTATTTTTTTCTTGCCATAATATTTAAGTTGGAGTGATTTATGGAAGTACCTCGAAATTTTTTAATAATAATTTTGAGACAATTGAAAAAAAATGTCTAGAACGATGGACCAATAGTGTACGTAGACGAGTCCTTAGAGGTCTACACCAACCCTTTAAGCACATAAGCCATTAACCGTAAAGAAATAAGCAACTTTGGAAGACAAGACACCAAAGATAATCCTATGATAATTAAAACGAATACATACAGTTGCTACGCACACAAGTTACTCAAGCGAAAATAGATTTGCTGACAAAAAGCGACTTACTTCTAAGAATCTACAAAAAAAAAAAAAAAAAAAAGAGGATGCACATTTTTTATTTCTTGAAAGTAATCGTAAAAGATTGGACTACTTTATTTTAAAGCTAATTCTAAGCTACCCTTGCAATAATTCTGTCTAAAAGCTTATATTTACATACATTGTTTACATAGGCATCTTTAAAATAAGGTATCATGGTCGTCAACATAACCATCAGATGATGCATCGTGACGACACATTTACTTTTCTAGCAATTTTTACATTTCCTAACTTTTGTTAGTAACGAAGTATAATGCGCTAGCTAACCCATGAGTTGCGACAGATTTGTTTTGACGCTTATTACAAATAAATATCAATGAAATATGGCCGGTTATTACTATCAGTATTATTATGTGAGTATAGACATAGCTCAAATGTATGGTATCAAGCACGATGGTAAGGCACAGATGTCTTTGATGATTTTTTACGTTTTTACAATTAAATTCATTGTCGAAATTAACAAAACGGATATTTTTCCATTGCTAGAAATCTACCGCATGTTAGTGAATTGAACAGCTCTTCTGATCTGTACCCTTCTTTAGATGTCTTTCAAGATTAGTAGCTTTGGAATAATTTCCAAAAAGGTCGGATAATACGATATATTTCTCGACTTTCATTCCCAGTATCTCACAAATATTTACTTTTTTTTAACCACACTTGTTAGGCACACAATTTCATTGCCTAGGCATTTTTCAATTAGTATTGTAAATCATAGAATAGTTGCTGAAATACAATTAAACGGATTCCTTTAAGTGTATGGAAAATCAAAAAAAAACATTAAAACAAGTGCATGCAACATCAATATAGTGATCTTCTTTGAAGTAAAAAGCAAATGCCTGTAGCGCGGTAAGATGGTACACACCCTGGGCGCGACAATCATTCGCTTAAGCGCTAAGCCGCTTGCGTCATTTCGCCTTGAATGCGTAACTAGCCTGCTTCTAAAAGCCCCAGTTGGTGTATAATTACTCCCATTCTTCCCATCGGAATCATTCCCATAATTCCAACTATCAAATTTGTGCATGTAACACGCATCAGCATATAAGAGCGAAACAGATTTATGTTACAGTTGTTTTTTTTGACGTCATCAGGAATCTTTAATGTAAACGGGCAGCAGATCTGGTTTAGAATGCTGAACAATAAAATAATGATTTACTTCACCCCATCTTCATGTTGTGGCAACAGAGAACAATAGAATGAATGTGATTTTTCTATTCACTAGGTAAAGCCAACGCAATTCCACGCATAGTGTAAAATGTTGATGAAATGAATAGAGAACATGCAGCACTTGAACTCTAAAAGAAAGCCCTCCATATATGAAGAGTTCAATCCAATCACGCCTAAGTATTCTAGCATTTTTCCAATTCGCTGCAAAATTAGCTACTCTACTTCGGTTACCGGATGCTTTAAATTGACGTAAAAAATTATGTTTATTACTAAAATGCAGTGCATATTATACTATTTAGTCTAAGGCTTTTTGTCCGCTGTCTATTCATATATATCCACTCACAATATACATGTTGAAAGAAAAAAGTGACGATAATGAAGAGTTTGCCCTCACAATGAAATTCAAAGTTATTACGAAAAAAACAACTCGTCCATCTTGGCTTCATCCTAGAACTCTATAATACATTGCAATCATTTATTTAATCTCTACTCCGGGCTAAATTCTTAGATTATTCGTCCATTTGCAGCAGCAGATAACCTACCGCATACACGCGATACAAGTAAATCTTTTCCTTACGTTCATTCTATAACTTCACACTGCAAGTGCCTTTGTGATATTTATCGTTGTATATTTACATCACTAATAATTTACTTTTAAAGACTCAGCTAAACTGTAAGCACCGATTACTCTTCTTTGTTATCAAAAAATTTGTTCAAAGCAATAATGGGTAGTAAATTTACTCGTCAGGTGAACTGAGGCACAAAGAGTTACTTCACAGGCTAAATTTCGGTTTCATGCGTTGTTCGGTATAGAAAAGCATCCATCTAAGATTGTGTCCTGATCCTTGGAATAAATTATAGATTGTAAGCGAATTCTTTACTTAAGGTGATTTTATTCGTTTCAAGGGTTGCCTGTAGAGTGTTTCTGCTATATGTTCTTTTTCTTTCTTTATTTCAAATATCTTACTCTCAGAATACCAATAAGCTAGTAGTGCCAGCTATATAGAGCAACGTCGATAATCGATTAATCACCACGATAACGTGCAGTATTACTGCTTCCGTCTATACAAATTCCGATTGATAATTACCTGGCCCTCACCCGCTTAGGATTAGCAGGACTGCTCGTCTCAGAGCGAGTGGCCCTCTTTCGTGACTGCGACGTTGTCATAGCCGGAGATGGAGCAGTTTTGGCCGGCATGGCTGGTGATGCGGTCCGCTTCGTTGATGATGAAGGACTCGAATTGCGGCGGCCAGGATTTGTCGCAGGAGACGCGTTCCTGTTTCGGCTACAACCAGTGGAAGGTGCAGGCGATACATTTCGGGATCGACTACGCCGTCTCGGTGGATCCCTACGTCCGGATGTAGTCGAATCTGGACGCCGACTCTCGCGTCGAGTTTTCAGTGCGGCCTTGGACGATCCTTGTGATGAAGAATCAGGCTTGCTGTTATTGCTATTGCTAGTGCCGTTGTCCTTAGCATTTACCTCCTTCGTTGACTCCTTGCTGTCCTTGTCCTTGCTATCCCTATCTTGCTTATCGTCCGTTGCCGACGAGATGCGTGACCTCTTATCGCCGTGGTCCTTGCGGGCCTCGCTGATCCGCTTCGTTTTTACTGGTTCGCCGTCAGTTTTTGCCTTGACGTCAGCCGTAGTCGTCCGTCGTATGTTACCGGACTCTTTTTTTTGTATGTCTTTATTATCATCCTTTCCACTGCTTTTCGTCTCCTTCACCGTACTCCTTCGAGCCTGTTGCTGCTGCTGCTGTTGTTGTTGTTGCGGTTCCTTTTGAGTCTCCTTTTTTTCTCCGTCAAAGCCGACCTTAATTCCGTCCTTTTGGTGATCTCGATCCTTGTCTTTAATGCTGCTACTGGTGGTGGTGCTAGCAGAAGATTTCTTCTCGTTGCCGCCGGCTTCTGGAGCCGGCGTTGTACTTTTCGTAGAACTGGCTGGCGAAGATGATGGCATTGTGTCCTGGAGCATGCAGTCGAGATTCGCCTTGTTCTTGTTCGCTTTATTGGCGAGTGCTGTCGGTACCGGTGAAGCTTTCGCGGGAGTCCAGTCACCTTTGCCAGTTTTCCCGCCGGTAGCTGCCGGTTTTGCCGCGGCAGGTTGCGGTTGACCCCCGTCTTTACCTCTCGTGTCGACTTCAGCTTCGTTTTCCTCATCGCTGTCGTCCTCTTCATCTTCTTCTTCTTGTTCGCTACCGCTGCCTGTTGATGTTATGGCCACCACCGTAGTCGTCGTTGTCGTCGTCGTCGTCGTTGTCGTCGTTGTTGCTGCTGCTGCTGTTGCTGCAGCCGTTTTTTTTTTAGCCGCGATAAGATCACCAAATTCGTCGTCCGGCAGCTCAAAATCACGTACGCGCGAATTGGGAAACGGCGCAATCTCGCTTTTATCAAGCGCTTCGAGATCATACATTTCATCAAGCCGATCCCAGAGAACGCGGGTCGGCATCTCTTTGTTCACGAGACGACAAAATTTGTCGTGAATGAAGAGCATCTGAAAGTGTTTTCCCACGCCGACAGGCTTGTAGCCTACCATAGCCACAAGCAGGCTTAGATCACCACTCTCGCTACTCCAATTGATCGGGCTCTGTTCAGGCATAGTTTCAGACGTTGGCGCACACACTCTTCTTCTCTTTCCACAGCTTCCCTATTTTTATCTCGTTCTTATTAACGATTAGCAGTTTTTTATTTTTCGACGTCTTGCCGCCTTTTTATATTTGTCGATACACGAAAGTCGTGATTGCTTAGTCGCCCTCTGACCGGTTCCTGATGTCACGCACGGGCCTATTTTCTGCGTGCCCACATCACTGCGGTATAAAACAGAAGCTATAGTCCACAACCTAAAAATGGAAACAGAGAACAAAAGTTTAACCCCAGACCCATTTTTGCGCCGCTATTTTACGCTGTTCTCGTAGAAGAGTAGCAGAATTTATAAATTCTAAATAAAACGTCATCATACATTAAAAAGAAAAAAAAAAAAAATATATATATATATATATATATATATATATATATATAACTAGAAAGCAGAGAGTATATATATATATATATATAGTTAAGGCTAAAATTATACCTAAATACTTGGAAATTGTAAGACAAAGAATCGAACAAAGGTGAAAATGAAAGGATACTTATAATATATGCAATGATAGATTAGTCGGCTGCGTGCTACGTTATAAACACAATCGTATCTTTTGCCCCGTACATAGCATTGGTAACTTGCAATTGCGTACACAAGACAGAATCATCGTAAAATAAAGACTACATGGCCAGACTGTGCACGTGAAAGAGCGCAGTTGGTGGGCTTATATCTAGATAAGCAGTTTGAGCAAAAAGGATCGCTTTGCATCCTCGAACGGCACATTTATCTACTATGAGAAGAAAATACGAGAACGTGTAGTATCGTGTCATCGCATACCCGGTTGGCCGTCATGCCTTAATGATCAAAATAATAAATAATAAACGAAAATAAAAATTAGAGAGGTAAGCGCACTGGGTCACACTGGGCTACAGACAATACTACAAAAAAACTCTGGGAACAATAAACATTTTTAGCCTGCAAGTGAATGCTACGCGTCCTACCCGAACAAACGTATAGGTACTGAACGCAAGGATAATTGTATCAATGAATATTACACCAAAGAGCTTATGGTGAACCAATGTAATCAACAAAAGAGGTCGTAATTAACGTGACTTGAAAATTGTTCGTCGCTCGTAACGATTCATAATTTAGCGTCGTTCCCAGCTCTTCCAAGCTGATCCACAACAGCAATACAGACGGTCGCACAGTCTGTGCGGTTTACATCAGTCTGATGTAAACCGAGGTCAATTTGTATCCAGTTCGGCTGATCATACGGCGAAGCACGTTGCATAATAGCTAACTTACCACTACGCTAAGCGGATGATAAACCTCAGCGACGGCACGGGCCTGTTCGGGCTTTTCGAAAGGACTCTGCACACTGGAGGCGTGACGAAACACCGTTCAGCACAGTTAGAACTAGGCAACAACTGAGAGCCACTATTGGCAAGCTAAACGTTCTGGCGAAATTCGCTCCCCAGAATGACCTGAAGGTCCACAACAATTTCAAACGACGTAACTGTGGGGTAAAGAAAAAGAAAAGCGCACAAATAGTTGGCCACTCACGAAAAGAACGTTTCCCAAGGGCCGCGTCCAGCAGCCGCCTTTGTTACTCTCAGTATTCAACGAAAACAACATTGCAGCAGCAAGATTGTCTTAGCTAGCTGCGGAAGCATACGGGCCGCGTCACACAGAGAGGGTAATCCCCTGCTGAGCACATCACCGACTCCGATGCGATGCGCATAAGAACTTAGGCAGTCGAAAAACATCGTCTGCTCAACGTATTTATAGACTCAGAGAAGGGTAGGGAAAATGGTATTGTAGTAAAAAAGGTTTATCGCGTAGAGACATTTCCCTATCATCCAGTGCTATTAAAAATCCGCAGATCTAATTATTGATTGAATCAAATAAATAGTCCTGTCTCTTACGAACGGTCACGACAAGGTGTCGCTTATTAGGGATTTGGGTTCGATTAGAAGGTATCGTAATAGTTTCATGACAATATAGATCATGCTCATGTAAATTATTCAATAGTAAAATGGACATTAGTTTTTGATCATGTAGTACATCTAACAGGCCAACGAAATAGTATGGCTGGTCAGTTGTGTAAAGGACACGACATTTTTCGAGATCCTACTAGTCACTACCATGTCTATAGTGAGGATGCTGCGTATCAAATAACCGTTGACAAAATCATGTTCAACATTACCACATGTTCATCATTAGATACTTGCAGACTGACGTTTTAAAGAAAAAAAATATGGTTGATAGACTTCTCTAAACCGCAAGGCATGTCTCGCTTCTATTTCTCAGGTTGGGATTACTCAAGTCTTTCGTCTAAACTCGTACCTATCTTTCAAGTCATGTTGGTGATAAGCGAGTGTCCCCGTTTTTGTTTTCTACAATGAACGAAGTACATGTCCTCTCGCTCTAGTCGCCTACGTCAAGTTGACTTTGTTTCTATTCAAACATTAGCGACAGACCGAAGCACAAAACGGAAAAATCAAATGATAGGCTGAATACAAGCACCAACAACTTCCGATTCATTCAGTTTGACTTGACACCTAACCTACCAATGATCGCAAAAACAAAACTGATCGATTTGTTTCGACAATATGGCAAAAACTTTGCACTATATTTCTATGTATAACGCATTAGTCCCTTAGGTGAGAAGCATGAACTAACGAATGAATGGATGGATGGATGAACGGATTTTCTAAAACAACTCCGCTCTTTACTTCTTTTCATTGACTCTCGTAATAAATGCATTTCGACAACTACCAAACAGCATTGGGCGGAGGGCAATACACATTATTCTGGGACACAGCATAAATTGTGGCCATGTTTAGGATGAGTGGTCTGCTATAGTGCGCAGTCCGCTGTCAACATACCGCGTCCGACTTCTGCACTACCCACCTCTCCTTCATCTTCTACTGTTTCTGTACAGCTGACATATGTATGGCTATAGAAAGCGTCGTCGAAACGCGTCGAATGCAGAATGTAAACAACAAACAGTAGAAACCATAGGGCGCCACTACTACAATCTGAACTCTTTACCAGGCCGACACAAAGCGAGAAGTGTTACCTCGCGAGAAGCTTTACGAGCCACTAAGTGATGGATGGAGCGTCAACAGCAGCAACAGCTTCGTCCAGCTGAGGGGGGCCTGCGACGGAGAACCGCAGCAGTGATCTGCTAGTAACAATTTCCAATAAGGAAAGTCTATAGTAGCTGCACAGCTGAAATACAACGATTCACTGAGGTGCACGGATGGTCTGTGGACAACAGTAACTGCTGTTACTGGAACAGCGTCCACAGAATCACAACGCTAGCAGCTGAGTGAACAAGCGAGAATCTGCTGATTTCGCCGACGGGCGCGCTCCCGTCGATTATTCATGCCAGAAGCAAATCGTCGACGGCGACGGAGAGCCTTTCGCTGTAGCGCTGCGTTGGTGATTGCGGCCGTTTTGTCTATCGCTGTTATAGCGAACCAGCTGATACCAGCTGGACTACTACCGCTGTCGGTTATTAATGGCGTTGTGCGTAAGCGTTTCTGTGCTCGTTTACGAAACGAGACCAATCGTACCAATGGAAACAGCAGAATTAGCGAGTGGCGACTATCCATGCAGTTGCTAAAATTCCTTTGCCGTCCATCCGTTCGTCGGCGTACCCGGGTGTTTCATTTGCGCCTTTCGCATCGATTGTCGCCGCTACCGTGGACAGCGTTCCGCTTTCAATAGCTGCAGCAGCACCAACAGTACTATTAGCGACGTCTTCTATTATTCTCGATGTGTACTCCTTGGCAATCGTAAGTGGACGCACGACAGTGGCACCCCCGATGCAGCTGTTCCTGATATTGGAATGGTATCGGGTACTTTACATTGTTGACGTCTCACTTCAGGATGCTGCCACTGGAATTGTCACGCCGCCTTTATTGACGCTAGTCGAATCCTTGTGTGTTATTGTTGCTGCTATTGTTGACTTTTTGTGATAAGCATTTTGCTCGTTGGCGATTCTTTTGTACACAATAATGTATGAATAAGTATTATGTTGTGACCGATCCGATTTAGCCGTTGCTTGATTGATTGCTTGGCCTCACAATGTATTCGACGGGTGCTCGCTAATTCCGGTACTGATAATCGTTTATCCCATCAATGCATAGTTTTTTGGGCTATTTTAATCATTGAATTTCCAACTGTGTTAGACTGGAACTGACGCAACTATTATTGGAATGGTTGCTGTTATAATAATCTGCCTGTCATCTGGCCACCCGGTGCAGCGGCCTAGAGATTAGTGAAGAAAGTGAACGATATTATCTAATGAACAAAATAAGTACACAAAAAAAAGGAAAATCCACCAACTTGAATAATTGTGTAAGATTACGATTGTGGCAACTGTAATAACTGTTGTGAGTAACGAAGGCAGCATCAAGCTACCGCTGAATGCTCGCCATCAGCGCTTACTGAGCTGCCAACCAATATCAAGTGTAGAATTTCTTATAATGTTCATAGCCGTCGTCACAGTAGTCGACCGTTCCGTGGTAAAAGGCTAGGAGTTTTGTGGTCCTTACCGTCGTGCGTAGTGATTAAAGTGAACATTGCTCGTTATAGTAGTAGATGTTGCTAGGTGGCACGGCTTGCTTGTTCCGCTTACCGTCAAATACAATCGCAGTAAAAGTTATACGTGATTATAGTTCAGTAAGTTTGGTCCCCGATAGCGGCGCTGCTTCAGCCAATGAAGGGTGTCGATGGACGGACTCGGCCGTGAAAGTGTTCTTGAGAAAACTGTGCTAGTGATTTGTCGTGGTTGGGGGTCACAATCGAAATTACTGGTTCGACAACGTTGAAACAACAGCAGACCTAGCGTAGGATAACAGCAAAGTGAAACAAACAAACAAACAAACACGGAGATAGAAAGCAGAGGTGCGAAAGGAATCGTTGAATCGAAGCTATAATAGCCCATTTATGTTTTGATGTCGGATAAACAAATAACAAGTGACTAGACGACCGGGTGAAAACGAAGAAGCTATGTGACGTAGACGATCTGCAGTTGCGGCAGAAGGTGACTTGATCAGAAGCAGCTGCAGCAGCGCTTACGACAAATACTACGTGGGTGACGACAACGATACAACAGTTGCGGCAACCGCATCAGGGCGCAAGGGTACATCGTAAGAAGTGGATTTATGAGGGTATTCGTAACGGGTTGGTTCAACAAAAACAACGATCGTTAACGATGTGGATTGAGCCAAGGGAGATTCTGATTGCGTCGGGACTTTGGGCGACGGAGAAACGGTCGACGTTCTTCTCGCTACAACGGCGCAAAGGTCATGGCTCTCGTGGTTTGTCTTCCGTTCTGCTCGGGACAGTCGATTCAATCCTATACAACAATAAGCCGGCACCGTTTCGCGTTATCCATCATACGCCGAGCTCTGAAGTGAGCTGGGCCGTAGCTGAAGCCTTTCAGCATGTTGATATTGAACGGGATTGGCAGTGGCTGATTGACAATCTCTCGCCAACTCTCGAACAGTGCGATGGTGAAGACCAAATGACGGACATCGTGAAGTGCAAAGTCACTTCACTGCTAATGCAGAGCTTGCAGGCCTCTGGCGGATGCCCAGACACCACCGATCCAGACTTCCAAAACACGCTGTCGAGTTTCCGCCAACGTTTCAATATGCCAGAAGAGAAGTTAGTTAATTATTATTCGTGCAACCTGCTGAAGAATAGGGTCCCTCGACAGGGCTGGCTCTATTTGTCAGTGAACACGATGTGTTTTTACTCTTATTTGCTAGGCAAAGAAACAAAGATCATTCTGCGCTGGACAGAAATCAGCGTGCTGGAGAAAAGCCGAAATTTCCTATTTCCTGAGTCCATTCACATAGTGACGCGTGATGACAAAGAGTACCTGTTCTCGCTATTTACCTCAATCAAGGAGACGTTTCAACTAATGGAGCAGCTGGCCAACCTCGCCATGCGACAGATCATATCTGAGGAGGCGTACGAAGAAGATCCAAATGTGTTTTATCGCATGGTCAAAAACATGCAGCGGAAGGGGTCGTTAGTTAAGCGCGATCTGGACGCACGAGCTCAGTCCGAGTCGTATCGGCTACGATTTCGCCTGTCAAGTGACGAACGGCTAGATGGAACCATTGAATGCTCACTGTTCACCCCCTACGACAAGAAAACAGTCTGGGGCAAACTCTTCTTCTCGAGTAACTACTTATGTTTTGATAGCCGCGTGCGAAACCTCGTGCGAGTGATCATTCCACTAAGAAATGTTATCATGGCTGAGAAAACAGTCCTCACCTTTGGGTCGCGTCAACACGGCATCCTTGTCAATTGCAAAGATGGCAATACGTTCATGTTTTCGGAGATAGATAAAAGCGAGCTGGACACAGTCGTCAAGAAAATCAGTGACCTTCTGAGATTACCACCAACCAAAGTTCTACTGCCGCATGGAGACACGCCACGATCCGATGTTCGCTGGAAGTTGACTCCACCTCTTGTGCAACTTTTCCCGCTGAAGTATACCGATGAGGGAGCATCGAAGATGCAGGCGCAAAGTGCGAAATGGGAGCACCATTTCGTCGAGTATTGTCGTGGAGTAAGTAGTTACCGCACATTCGAAACGATGGAACTTGTGCTTCAGGGAATTCCCGACAAATACCGCGGAGAAATTTGGATGCTGTACTCAGGCGCACTCAATGATATGCAGCGCAACCCTGGTTATTATCAATGGCTTGTTGAGGCTAGCCAATCAAGGTCTAAAGCGTCGATGGCTGCCGATGAGATCGAACGCGATTTGCACCGTTCTCTGCCCGAACACCCTGCATATCAGGATACTGTTGGTATTGATGCCCTCCGTCGAGTATTAAACGCATATGCCTTCAAAAATCCTCACATTGGATATTGTCAAGCAATGAACATAGTTGCCAGTGTTCTTTTGTTATACAACTGCGAAGAAGAGGCATTTTGGTTGCTGGCCGCCATGTGCGAACGCCTACTACCGGACTACTACAACACGAAGGTAATCGGAGCACAGATCGACCAACGGGTCCTACAGGATCTCGTCAAGGACAACTTGGGCCTGCTTCACGACAAGCTTGAAGCGCTTGGAATTCTGTCGATGATCTCTATCTCATGGTTTTTGACTTTGTTCCTTAGTGTTATGCCATTTGAGGCCGTTGTGCAGATTATGGACTGCTTCTTCTACGATGGTCCTAAGGTCATCTTCCAGGTGGCGTTGGCAATTTTAGACAAAAATAAGAAGGCTCTTTCCGAGGTTGTTGACGACGGGTCCGCTCTTGCTATCCTAAACAAGTTTCTGGGCGGTATCACGAACGTGACAGGGCCCATCGTTCAGAGTAAGCAGCTACCTCTTACTGAGGAAGAAACAACCGACATCAGCACCCTCCTTGACTATGCCTATCGAACGTACAACTTCATTAGTGAAGAGATGATCGAGAAGCTTCGAAATAAGCATCGGCTTCTAGTAGTACAAGACTTAGACGCACAATCGAGCACGCAGGTTCTTCGATCACTGAACTCGGACATGATGCTGAGACAGCTGTTAAAAGAAAGCGATGCCCTGGATCTATTGCATCTGGTCAAGAAAGAACAACAGCTAAGTAGCCGCCGGCCCGGATTTCATAATTTGGCGCCGAAAACCGACCCTCTGCTTCCCGTCTACGAGCAGTATAATCTCGATTTTGAGCACTTCAGCAAACTATACCAGCAGATCTGCGACTCGATGTGGTACACCGGTGACCATCCGGAACAGCTGATGTTGCGAATGTTCCATCTTTTCGACGAAAACGAAGATGATTTCATAAATTTTCGTGAACTCTGCCAACTCGTAGCTGTTCTGTGCTACGGAGATTTGGAGCATCGCTTGGGACTTATCTATTCGGCGCACCTAGTGAAAAGTGTAGCGGCAGATGAACCTTCACCGCTGGAGCTACTTGAGGACACTGAAACGGCAACCGAAGCCGAAGAGTACTTCGCGAAGAGCACAAGTGAGGACAATGTCGAGTTCAAAAATTTGTCGACCTACACACACGCGTCGCTGCTTGACGCGCTCGTCTGGAGTCGCCAGCAGAGCGGACATTGGCCGACCTCGCAGAGGTCACCGTCTGTGAGCTCAATGAACCTCGATGAGATTTTTCAGGAGCTGCCTGACATGAATCAGAAACAGTTTATGGCCATGTTCACTAGCTTATACAGACTCTTTGTTGGACACCCGCGAGAAAACGACTTTGTGAAATCGCTGGCTAATATCAGCACGATTCTCCTGCAGACAGGTGAACTTCAGCAGAAGATTGAACGATCTGCATCACGAGAAACGGCAACCGCGTCCCAGCAGCACATAGCTGATGGTGCTTCAAGTCGGGGTACGTCGACTTCGGAAGGTAGTGCGGGTGGCGATGGGATTGCTCGCCAGCAAGACCGATGGAACATCCAGTGGTACCTATCCTTTAGCCAGTTTCGTAATACACTACGAATCGATGATACGTTGTGCAATTTTTTCTCCCTTAAATTGCCCCTGTCGGAGAAGCTAACCGCAATCAGGAAAAACAAGCTATAAGGCACAACACTTCATTGTATCCCTGGGGCATTCTCGAGTTTTCGAGAACCGTAATAATTATAATGCATCTGTGGCACAAGTTAAGAATAGAAATCATGCCAAGCAGACGAAAGTTAAAGAAAAAAGCTTTTCAATTTGTTCATCATAAGCATGTATCTATAATCGCTCGGGACACGTTTGCGTGGAATGGACGGGAGCCATATCGACCGTTCAGGTTCACTGAAACAACAAAAGAATTTCATTGCATCGTTGTGATCCGTTCCGCCACTGTGTTGTCGTAGCCGTCCAAAATTGCATTTATCTATGATGCAAATGACATTGATATATTTGTTAGTGTAAGTTCAGCGACTAATTGACCCCGTAGTTCTAGATAATAGGGCTGTTAGCGTTGATCGAAGTGAGTGACAAAAGCAAAGAGGTCCGAACAATCTGTATCCTACGAAGCCGACTTTTCACCGCAAACCGAAAGAGCGTTATACTTGACTTGTTGATTGATTAATAAATAATACAGCAATGTAGTATATTTTCACGGGAAAATGGTGCAATGATAAATGCTATATAATAACGAGACACAAGTTTAACTCAATTTCATTTGCAAGCTCAGACGTCATAGAATGATGCAAATCTTAAAGAAGTATGAACCTATATATAAATATATATGATACAGAAGTTGGTATATGCTTTAATGGCTATTTAAAAAAAGAAGAAGAAATAAGCGTAGTGCTATATAAAAAAAAAAGCCTGTATAAAGGATGAAGTAAAATAAAGAGTTTTCTATGGCGAAAGAGGCGCCAAATTTCAGAGCATTCCTAACTAAACTCGATAGGAACACGTGTGTCACGTATTGTTTTTTTTCAAGACTAAAAGCCTAGTTCGTTTGGAAATCTTTACTCACGAAGACAGTTATACAGAAAACCCTGTAAGCGTATCTAAGCGCCACAAATACGTGACCGAGAAATATACACTGAGTAAGTGACTTGCTTATGACCTATTAGTAAGCGGCAGATATCCATGATTTATGGTCTTGCAATCGGCTTTGTCGATTCTTTATGGTGAGGACCAAAATAAAACAACATTCACAGGAAAGTTGAAAAGACAGTTCTATATCGACTACATAAACAGAAAAAACGTGTGCAAGAAGGCAAAAAATAAATCGGTGAGAGATGTAAAACAGACAAGTTAAGTATGTATCAGAACGCCTTGGTGGAGATTCTGCTAGGACTCCGCAAGGATGTGTAAGTCAGTGACAGATTCGCATGCGCCTACCGACAATTAGGGCCCGATACTTTCAATGTTCGTCGAAATGTATTTTTAAGAGGAAATATGATTGTCGAAAGAAATGATGCAATATAAAATGTGTTCTTTGTTTTCTCTCTCTTTTTCTCTATGTATGTGTGCCATGTAGCAGTGTTCCGAATTTGGAACAGCAGTAAGCTCCTAGTAACAAAATTAAAATTGTCTTAAAGTCACAGATATTCCAAAGTGATTAGAATGTGGATCACACGGTTAACAGAAATGAATCATAAATATTATCTTGAGGATATTGCTTTGTGTAAAAATTTTTAATGGCGAAATTCTTATATAATGAAATCTGTTGCGAAAGTTATGAAAGTAATGTTAGGTTTTTTTTTACAACATGTATGATTTTCTAAAGATTTTATTATTCAGGATGAGTGAAATGCTCCTATAACTAATACTGAACGAAGTACGCTATGACGCTGGTAACAGAAATTTTCATAAATAACGCTTTATTAATCTGAAATGTTATTCTATATATCATTAATTACTATTATTTTTTACTAATTTGCAAGTGTAAGTCTCTATTAATTATTAGTTTTACAGGGTATTTGGGGTGAATTAGAATAAATATCAGCTGGCTGTTTGTCGCGATAAGCATACGTTCGCTATCTATTCTTGGAAGTAAAGCTAGTTATTATCTCTGAAATAAAGTAGCGCATTTATCATCAAATGATGGTTATTTATCAATAATGAATTTCGGAATATGAGTGAACACTAACGGTTGTCCAATGTCCTCACCTTGACAGTGTTACAGTATTGGCCAAACACTAAGGCATATGAGATGCGAGAGGCGATGTACGTATTTCGGTCCGAAATTGCCGCATGCACGTTTGTACATATTACTTCAGTTTTTATTTGGCATCTGATGTTTCAAATATAGCATTAGTACATCTACTATATATAACGTGTGGCTGCTATTTTTTACCTATAGTATTAATAGGTATCGTTTCAGTCGTCGCACGTAGGAATGATAATGGACCGGGAACGATGAGCATTGTAAATCATCGTCGTCATACTTAATAACGATAATACGTATAATCTAAGCTGTAATAAAGCTATTACTTAAATACTTTACGAATTCAAGTACTTTACGAATACCTTGTGCAATATGAACTCATTATCTAAATCTGATAGATGCTGCAATATGGCTTCCGTTCACGAAATCCCTAGTTTTCCTTAACTAGGATAATCACTTCGAATAAGTCTTCTTCTACTGGGAAAGATTATTAAAATGAAAAAGATTTTGTCTTGCTATCTACGTAAATACGAGAGTACACTATGTTCAAGATTGTTGGCAAGATGTTTGGCGAGCCCCATGATGGCGTAGTAAATAACCTATTCGCGTTCTAAAGATATATGGTGATTTATGCTCAAGTACCGGACGCAAAAAGTGGGAGCATGAAGAGGGACAATAAAATCACTGTCAGATTTGTCTGTACTGTATGTTTTTATTGTTGATTATTCGCTGTAGGAAATACGACTGCAAGTACCTTTTTCACTATTATATGACAGCTACGAAATTTTCCAAGTTCTTAAATACGCTACACTAAGCATAAAGATATAAGTGGTTTGCATTGCCATGTTGACTCTAGACAGAGGTCAATGTTTTGATGAGTAAGGCCCAAATTCTTTTCCTTTTTATTTATTATATTTATTTTTAGAAATTACGTAGTACAAGAGGATTTACATTGCTTTCAATATCTAAATGAGTTGTATAGATAAATGGCAAATAGTTTTAAATTATATAGCTTAGTTCTTTTTGAATTTATTTGTTCCACCAGCCACGACGAATCATACCGAATGCATCTGAACATTTATTCATAAGTAAATCTGATCCCCTGAAGCCAACGGCAATCTTAAGCCGAATCATGATTTATAACTGGTTATGTACAATTTAAAGATATACGATTTTTTTTGTTAACACTCATTTCCAACCGCTTCAAGTTAATATCGCATCTGTTGTTCCACTAAGCTCACAGATCCCGGCTAACTAATCCAACTGCGCGCTTCTTATGACTGCACCCGTAGCAGCATCAACGACTGCAGCGCGTTGACAAGAGCTACGTTGTTAGGTAAAGAAAATAGGTAGGTTCATCCAATTATCGCTCATCTATTTCAAGCACGCGCGCGACTCATTACTCTCGGAAATCGTTGACTGGACGACTGTAAATAGCAAACAGGCAACTACCCAATAACTTATTGTCGTCTGCTGATCGAGTGCAGACGATAGCAGCCATGGCCACAGTATTAAGCAAAGCAGACTAAGCAGAACCGTAGCGTTAATGCACTAAGTCCGCCTTCTTGAAAAATCGTAGCGCACGAGCCTAGTTGTAACAGTATTCAGATGCTACTGTATCCTTAGTAGGAGATCTTATCGCAGGCCTCCGGCACACTCCAGACCCAAGCGCTAAATATTAAGATTTCGAACTCTGGTCAACGCGGTAGACCGCCACAAACCAACGAGAAGTGGTAACAACGTCGTTGTAAACATAAATGGCTGCGCCCTGGTTGAAGTTCTGGGAGAGTGAAATGGTGCGGCGGTGTGAACGGCGTTGGTTCAGAAGCAACGCCAACAGCTTAAAGAGAACAACATCAGGCCACAGTGAAAAGCAGCCGCAGCGGAGACTAGGTCTGTAGCAGCACCAACGCTGGTAGTTGTAGCAGCTGCACTAGCAGCCGTATCGAAATGAATGCAGAAATTCAGGGCGCTACGATATGTGGCGATGCAATGTGATGCAGCTGGACTAGCTAAACGAAATCAAAATACGTATGGTTATTATAAGCGTATAGGGAAAGTGTGGCAGCGCACGGTACACGTTAAACCCGCCGTTGCAGCAGCTATTATGTAATTGCGATCAAGTAAGTCCGCGATCTCCTGGTAATCGGCGCATGTTGCTATCACCGTTGTTGTCAACGCTAAATGCTCGCTATATAAGTGTTTTTTTGTAGAACGTGGAATTTCTATTCATGTTAGCGATAACAGAGATGGTCGCTGTCGTCGGTGGCGTTGAGCTTCTCAGTTAGAAGCGAGTTAGGCGAAGAGAGGTTTGAACGAAATTGCCGAGTGCGAAAAGACGAAATCAGACGGCACTCGGCCCAGACCGAGAGGCTGGAGGGCAAAGGTTGGCCGCGGCCGCCGATGCTAAATGAACCTATGATTCACGGTTTATTGCGAATGGTGTCGACATAGTGGTTGGAAAGTGAGCTTGTACGATAAACTACCCTGGAGAAAGAACAATAGATCTATCTGTTCAGCTGTCTATCGTTCTACGTCAAGCCGGAAAAATAACAGCGGCGGTGACTGGAACAACTGGCCAGAGATTGCTGTTGGCGTGGTGGCAGTACAAGAAAATACCGAATACCTGATAGGCCTGTAACAATCGAATAACAACGACTGTCACTAGAAATCGTGGTCACGATGGACAGTTCCCAAGAAGAGGTCGTCTATGGAAGCGATGCGGCTGAAACGACTCATGAGGGGTCTACCGGAGGCCAGGACGTAAGTACACTTTCAAGGGTATCATCGGCAAACTGAACAACAAACTGTTAACACCGAACAGAAATTATTAATACATGCATTTGTTGACCAGCATGGCAAATCATGCTGTCTATAGATTGTAGAGGTGCGAAATCGTGTAGAGAAGGCCGACAAAAAAAAATGCTACTGTCACAGTTGTCGGTTAGCAAACGAAAATCGACCGACAGCGACAGTTGGAAGGACGCTCTCTTTGGAACTCGAACAGAGCGAAGGTCTCCGCATGCGACAGCAGCACAGCTGGTCCCTCGATACGTACAGCTGTGATTCATCAAGCTACCTGCTCTTGTTACTACGCACGCTCCAGCACCAACGTGCCTTCCGTGTGCCAGATTCGTAACAACAAGAGACTTTTGCTGGACTATTGACAATTTATCAATATTCTAACGAAGGGGGAATGTAGCACAAAGCACACTGAGATAGCTAACCGTAAATTTCGTTGAATTCACTGCAAAAAAATGCATGATTATACGAACACTTGGACGCAGGTTGACAAGCACCTTGATATCATATTCATCTGTACGGGGATCAGAGACAGGATCATGAAGTCGACTGATTTATTAGTGAAAAACAAATTTTCCAAGGCTTCTCTTCAGAGAGTTGAATAGGGTATCATTACTTGCAGTTATGCACAACATATTCGAGCTTATGTCTTGGGGCAAATCTGTAGCTTTGATAGACAAGTGCGCACTGAGGGTGTTATGGCGCGCCAACAGATTATCGCATACGTGAGAAGCAACTACTGCATTCATTCGTACCAATGATCAGGAAGTCTTGTGCTTGGTAGATTACATTATATTTTGTCCACACAGTGATAAAGGTTCCGGCTAAGGTTTTTTGTTGTGCCGTAATGTTAAAGCTATCCTCAATAAATACTAACAAATTTTTTTTCTTGAATTCTTATAAAACTATGCATTTTTGTTCGTAAAGTTTATTTTCTGAATATCAAACCATAACAGTTTGAACAAATGTAATCCATTTGCTTGGACAATTCAGTCAATTACCTCAAATAATCCATACCTCACACCTGGCTAACCACTGAATTGACACTGAGTAGGACTAAAATGTCATTTAAGAAGTCAGCGTTTTTCGTCAGGAACGACTACTGTGTTACAAATTCAGCATCTTGTGTGCTCGCAATTCTGAGTCAAGGTATTCAATAAAGTTAAAGCAAAAAGAGCAAAACTTGTACAGGAACGGCAAATGAGTGTGAAGTATATAGCGGCCAGGAGACACAAAGGAATGATGTGCCTAAGATTCTTGTGTCAACACGATACAGCTAAACATTATAAATAGATAGTATATATAATTGATAAATTGTAGTGCCATCGTACTAGGAAGCATTATTGTGTACATAAGTATCATATGTTCCGTTCAAACCCTGCGCACAAACCAATACATTTTAGACGCACAGATCTTGCGTTTGGTAGACATTTCAACAATATAGTCAACCATCTAACATAGTTAGATATTAACAACTACATTTATTCTTATCCATGGCCCATGGAGAACTTAATAAAACGTAGAAATAATTGTGAAAAATAACATTTTGAAGGAAATAGCACACAATATTTAGTTACATACTACGAGCTCAATGATCTTGTATCGAAAGATGATTACTAAACACACGTTGGGTAGAGGCTGTTGGCTGTTCTAATATATACATACTGTTATTCAGCCACCAGTTACGCATAGTATGTCGTAGGAATGAGGCCTACAATAGCTTAAGTCAACCACAATCTGGTCTTCGTTTACTGGTCAGATGGCCAAAAATAAAATGACGTAAAAGACTACTATCTCTATCGGATTATATTGCTATCGGGCACTGATCGAGCTGAACTTTTAGGAGCAAGAAGCGATTTTTACTCTCGACGTCTTCAAATGCTAATAGTACACCGCAGGTGAATGAATCTTACAATTTCTTTTTACCTTTGTTTGCCCATTAATGCTTTCATCGAATACTGGTAAACTCGTTAAACTAGCTCGTAAACATTACTTAAAATCCATATGATTGCGAATCGGTTAACCGCAACATTAAAAACCGAAAAAGCCAGTTAGTAAACCGAGTTATATCATTAGTATTTTCTATGCTATTATTTAGCACAGACTGGGCTTTAACTTTAATCATTTTTATCGTTTATTGATTTGTGTTCCAGTGCAAATTGTCCAGATCTGAATCGTATTTTGGAGACAATTTTTTTGCAATCCGCCGTCAGGGCCCCAGAAGATCAGCCAGTTAAACTGCTCGTCTCGCAAGTTCTACAGGTTGATGTATGCTTGGGGAAACCACTAAGGAAGTTCTGCTTAGGGAATATATTTCGTCGATCCGCTAACTTAGCAGTATTAGCAGCCAGAATAAAATTAAACTCTGTCCGTTAACTTATTTTAGCAGTTCGCTGCAAATGGGCATTCGTGGTGAAGCGTTCTACCAAAGGCATCATTGGAGTCTAAATATAGTGTGGGAGCAAAGGCAAAGATTTGATAGCAAAATAAAATTAACATTACCGCCTTTTATATCACAAATGTAGTACATAGCTAGGTATAGCAATTACAAGACTTTACTTTGATGTGATCTCGTCGAGGAGCTAACGTGCAATGGACATATATTCTGTCGTTGTCCAAAAAAGCAATCAGCAGATTGCGACTTGCTAGAGTAACGATTTTTTTTTATTAATTTTCATGAAGTGTCGTTGTTATTCGCCCCACCCTGGGTTTTGCATGCATGACGCACTTTTTTTTCGATTCAGGCTACAATAGGTAGTGCTGCTTTGCCAGTGGAAAAGTAGGATTCTGTGTGGCCGAAAGCTTTTTGTTACGACTGAGCGACTTATACTGAATCTTATGATCGTACTTGAAATGAGTGCCAATAGACTTCTATATCTGGTAAGACTTCAGTTTGCGAATGTTTTGCGAGGTAGTATTTTTCGTTGGTTAGGTGATGCTAAGCTTTGTTACATTGAGCGCTTGGATGATGGCACATAGAAGATATTTCTAGTGACTTAAAATGCCCAGTGTGATTAAACATTTACTTATTCTAGCTTTCGAGAGGTATGAGAAGGTTTTATCTAGAGGTATATTTTCGTTTCCTTGCCCATAAAAAATATCATTGATTTACGGTATGCGCAAAAAGCACTCTATCGACGCAGTGGAGCTATGTATAGCTTTAACATTGCTAGGGCACCTGCCTAACTCAATATTAGTTGAATATATAATACGTGGCTGCGTGTGCACCACGATAAATATATATATATATATATATATATATATATATTAAAAACAAGCATTAGTTTGAAAATTTTCCTTGAAGATTTAATGCGGGTATAACATTTAGTATCTTTCCTTACTTACTGAGCTTGCATATAGGGACTGAGCCATGTAAAAGTTGTTGGTGCTCACCTGCGTAGATTTCAATTCCTTCATTCGTAAAAATCATGCTATATGGTATTCTTCTTATGGCAGAGAACCATAGTTTGCTTCTCAGGGTATGATGAGTACTTCTTGTCCACCTGCCATAGGGGAAAAGAAGACGGTATCAGAAAAGTAGTCCATATAAACGGCTGTCTTTCTACTATGCGTGGTTTGTAAGAATATTTTACCTGATTACAACTGATTTTCACTGTCAACGTTTTTACCGGCCCTTGAAAATATGGTACCATAGTGTTTTCATTATCTTATATATATATATATATACATAACATTTTCAGTCTGTCTCTGATAGAAGTAAAAAAACAATCTGCAGGGTAGAAAAAAAACGAACTATCGTAATTTCCGCATGCATTCAATTTTTCCGATAAGTGGCTTCCATCATGCAAGACATTAAGGCTTATAACAAACCCTATGAATAGCGTTCCATTCCATTCAAGTAAGGGAGAGTACACCTTTTGACGGGTCTATTTAAGCTAAATCAAAAGATAGCCCTTTAAGTGCACAATATAACTTGTTTATAATATCTCATCTATACTGGCAGGATTGAGCCCTAGAGGATGGCTAAAAATACAGGCATTGAAACGTAAAAATGGATGTTGCAGGTTAACAGGTCGGTTCTCGCTCCTGTCCTGACTTCGTTTAAATCGTCGAAATTAGTTGTGAAGCAAAGCTTTGTAGCTATATCAATGTCATTCAGCGTCGGAAATTTCAGAACATGATTTATGTCGCCGACAGCCTGCGCGACGTGATTGGCGTTGAAAGTACGGGAATTTGGAAAATAGATAATACTAGCAAGGCCCCCTCTCGTAGTATCCTTGTTTTAGCTTACATGTTATCCAACAGATGACGTCGATGTGCCTTCTAAAGCAGCGAGCATATTCCTCGTACGGGAATTATGCAAATGGAGTGCTATGCTGGACGGCGACAAGGGTATTAGTCGAATGGTTGTATTGTATTGTGCTTGACCGCACGTGACTTAGAAAGACGCCACTAGTGGGTCTAATATATGCAGTTGCATTCATGTATAGAAAAGCGACTTCATGCATCTCTGAGAACGCCAAATTCGAACGTATTTCATAAGGGATTTTAGTAATTATGGGCACGTTTTGAGACGACTTCGAAAAGCAGCGAGAAGGGCTGTTTCGACAAATGATGGCATAATCCAAGTGTTTCGATCTTCGTATCGCCAGTACTTCTGGTTTAGCACTCTCTCAGTGGTTTTCTATGCGCTCGTGCACTTCACGAAGCAAATGAAATCGACAATTAGTAGCTTTTGTCTATATTGATGTCTATTCGTTGATCTTCGCTTTATGAATGAAGTTTTTCCTCCAAATGTTCCAGATATTTCCAAATATCCACAAGGTCGTTTTCGTACTGATGACAGCCTGTTTTTGCCAGCTGATTTACAATTAATTAGCGAAACCTCGTAAGGATGACCTTAAAATTCCGAACTTTCTTTACCCATTAGAGCACATATGTATTTGCGAACTTATCAAACTTTTTCATACGCTTGCAATTAGAATCTATGTTGAATTAATGTCAAAACCCGTGTGAATCACATCTGAAACGACAGGAACTTACACATGGCGTGCGCAGACTATGGAAATCAAAGAACACCGAGAACTGTGATGCAAAGGGTGATTCTTTTTTTTTAGCTCATATCGTTTAAAAGGTCGCTGTTCTCGCAAAAGGTTTACGGCTTTCAAATCAACCTTTACGGAATTAGTAAACTTCGAAGTACTTCTACAAGTCATACCTCATGGATGTTTTTAGTGACATATAAATACACAATTTGTAGAACGAATATTGTAGGTGCTAGCATTTTTCCAGGATAAAAGTTCCTATTTAAACCCGGTTCTCCGCCCTATTTGTCTTGTATTTTTAATGACATTACTTCAGTGGAAGGCTCCACGATTATATAGCTAAAGAGGTCTTTACAGTAGATAATTTTTCAGGGTGTTTCTTTAATACATTACCTGTTTATCGTTGACGTCCCTTGAATGTGCATTGTTCGCTTAATCAGGTTTGTGCGTTCTTGCCTTACAGGTTATGTCCGAAAAGGTAGAGAACTTGGCACGGGACATCTACGCGGAATTCAAGCGAATGATGGACAGGTATGATCAAGACGTTGTCAAGGATCTCATGCCCTTGGTGGTTAACGTCCTGGAGAGCCTAGATCTGGCCGGCATTGAAAACCAGGAACATCAGGTTAGTACTTTATCCACTTTTATCTAAGCTAATTAAGAGAAATCCACATCTAATATCATAAGTGTATATTTATTATGTGCATTATTGAAAGGACCAGCCTATGCTAACACTATATGCAGGTATAAATTATCAGAAGTACAGGTCAACTAAAAAGTTCGCCAATCATAGTAAACTCAGCGTACGGAGTTTAAAGCTGTCTGGAAATGGTCTCACAAGTTACAAGCCTCGCCGTGCTCGGGTCAACCTGACGATTCATGTGATTCGAATGCGCATGTTTTGTTATAGGTCGAGCTCGAATTAGTGAAAGAGGACCACGAGCAGCTGGTGACGCAGTATGAACGTGAGAAGTGTCATCGAAAAAATGCCGAACAACGACTTCTCGAGGTGGAGTTCTCTAACGATGAAGAACGAAATGAACTGCAGTCTAAGGTTGGCGTGACCACCTTCCCGTGTTCAAAAATTCCTTTTTCTGCCTACTGTGAAAATATAGTTACCCTATCTGTCGATCTAAATCTTTCAGAAACTTAAAATTATAAAAATACTAGCTGCTAGTGCATAACAACTATAAAGGACTTTCATTGCCTGTTGCAGGTCGAAAGTCTCGAAAGCATTGTTCGTATGCTTGAAATGAAGGCCAAAAATTCAGCGGATCACGCCTCGCGACTTGAGGATAAAGAAAACGAAATGAAAAAAGAGTATGCCAAACTTCATGAACGCTACACCGAGCTGTTTAAGACCCATTTTGACTATGTTGAGAAAACAAAAATTCTCTTTGGAGCTAGCCAAAATGCCAAACAAGGACAGGGCCAAACGATGCCCACGACACCTGTCGAAGCTTCCAGGTACTATTAATTCATATGTATCGATGAATTCTAATCGAAATATTTTCGAACTATCATCTTACTTCGAAACTTAATCTTTTAAATTAAATTAAATTAAAGGGCCAATTCACTTTGTTTATAATTTATAATAATAATATAGTCCACAGCAAAGGGCTGAGCAACCAGACGTTGCTTCAAGTGTATAAGATGACTGAGTATTTATTAACATGACTGCGTACCATCGTCGCTGTTGTCTTTGTTTATCTAATGCTGTAGCTAATAATATTTGTGCCTTCTGGCTCGTGTGTCTGTTTACAGTCGACTAGCAAAAGTAAGTGCTGATATCCGATCGCCGGAGGAGTTGCACAAGGGTTGGAAACTTGAACAATTTTCCCCGGACAAAGATCTGTCAATGAGCGAAGCTCTTAGTCAACCATCTGAAACAACCATGGTAATTAAAAATGCGGTATAGCAATACTATAGGCATATTATACATCGTTAATGAGCCATTGTTTAAATATGTATGTATAAGGAATTAAGTTATTTCTACTTCTTATTCGTACTTCGAAATATGCACCATTTACTCAAAGAAACTTTTTGCCGTTCAGTACACGGTACACAACGTAATGAAAAGTCCATTTTCGTACCACTTAATGTCAAGCGGTGTATAATCAACAATGTAAATAAATAAAAAATCGATCAGCGGTTTAATTAAGTTGTAAGTTTATGGCTTCATAATCTATAAAACTAAACAGGTTGAACCAATTCAAGACAAGACACGGGTACGGCGGCCAAACACTCTTTATCAGGAGTGCAAATTTGCCGACAAAGAAGATCAGCGGAATAATGGAAAACAGAATTCAGCAGCTCCAACGGACGAAGACGCTTTCGATGCTGGCGCAGGTCTGTATCGGCTATCTGTATACGAATAAGATATATGAAAAGAATCGGTAGTTCAGAAGGTTCCAAACGATTTCATATATTGTTTTGTTTGAACGTTCTGAAAGTAATTTTATTACAATATAGTTTTGAAATATTGTAGTGAAATTTTTATAATACATGTTTTTTTTCCATAAACTATTCGCTTTATTTGCTATTAACAGAACTCAGTGTATACGATTATGTTATTTCTATGCATATGTTGATCGAGCTTGTAAGGTGGGTTCGAAGTTCCTGCCTCTTATAGCCAAATATAAAGGAAATTATCTTAAACTTCAACTATTCTTTTCAGATTTGCGGCATGAACCTAAGTTAGTATTGCTATTATTTCCTTATCATATTCTTAGCGATCCCAGTTCGACATTCACATTGAGTTTTAGAACATTATCATGGTTATCTTTGAGCTTCTGAGATTCTATGTGAGCCGAGTCTGACCTATGTGACACATTAGTGAACTCCATTCGAATAAAGTCTATTATTATTTTCTCATTACTCACGCTACGGTTCGATCAAGGGTCTGTTTTCCCTTATTAGTCGTCAACTCTTGCGAGAATACGCGCCAAATGGGTGTCTCACTTTTTTTTTTCGACTTCAGACAGTGTAAACGTTACCACGCTGCTACGCATGGCGAGCAAGTGACAAATAACATGAGCTTATACTCAAGTTCTATGTGATTCGATACAGTGTTACCTGTTGTATTGTTTTGGGTAAATACGTTATATGCGTTTACAATCTAAGCAATGGTCTCCGATGTTGAATCAATTGTCTTGCATTCTTATGCCAATTTTTTTTTTTAGTAACAATAACTAAAAAGCAGCCTCCTCAATATGATAGTCCAGTCCAATATTTTCATGCAGATTACCTTTTAGATCCCGAATAATGCAACTGGTTTGAAGCTGGAATGGTCTAGCTACTTGATTGAACCAACACTTGAATCAATTTTTATCCTGTTTGTTGGACGCTGCTTCACGTGTAGGAGCTGTAGTCGACCCGGCAGAATTTGCCTCATCAGGTTTGTCAGCTTTATATATAGTTCGATGACAAATTTGTGCATTTTTAGCACGCAGTTATCAGAGGAGATCAACAGAGCAGGATGTGATACGCATAATATTATACACGAATCAACAAGTTGTTTATTCGAAGAATATTTTGTTTGGCAGTATATAATACGTGGTGCGAGAGCACTACATTTTTTGTTCGTGCGAATGGCCCCGACGCTTGCTTAGTGACCCGCTATTTGCAATATGTGGGCAACGCTCTTCCTAGAGACTGATCAGCTTCTATTTTTAGCCTGCTCTGCAATAAATTTTTTTTGACAAAAAAGATTAAAGGGAAAAATGGATGGCGTCTGCTAGTCCTGTTATTATATGAATGAATACCTAAGGCACGAGATGACCTTATGAATGAAAAGTTTCGTTGTTACCTAATTCTGCCAGTGGATTGCTCGGTAGAAAGATCGCACCGTAAATACAAAGAATTAAAATGTGTTTTTATTTCATCATGTACATGGTGTAGTATAGTCGATAGCAGTAGGCTTGATACCATAAAACTAGATAGTGTTTAACAATTCGGTAGAAAAAATACCTAACTTACTGATAGTGGAACTACTCTTTTTCTCGATTGGAGTGAACGAAAATCTTTGGACTTGATGATAGTACGCGTAAAATCAGCTTTTCGGTCTTTGATTCGTAGTTCGCAGTTGATTCGCAAAAAGCGGCTATCCATTCCACTGCCATTATATGTGAAAGATAAGTAGAACTGATTTCGAAAATGCCTCATTACAGTGAGCGACAATATCTTCGGAATGGGTAAAGAGGTAGAAAACATCATTCTCGAGAACATTGAGCTGCTAGCAACAAAGTGAGTTTGATTCCGTATGTAGCATTTTACAAAATTACATTTTCTCTAATTTCTGTCGGGCTTCAAATGCATACGTCACCCATACTTGAATTACTGATAAGGCTGACAAGGCAATCTCGTAACGTAACATTAGTAACATAATAGGATTACAGTATTCACGAACCTTAAAGTATGGCCTTATAAGAGGTATTGTATATGGGTAAAACGATATTTTGGGCTAACTTTATTTATTCGGATACACAGATGCTATACAATAAATGTCGACAGCGGTATAATAATTTGCAACTGTATTATTTATTGCATGTTAGAAATTACGTTGAATGGAAAATATGGATGATCAGAGAAACCGGCCACATGCTGCAATTAATCAACGATATTTCCCTATCAAGTATTGATATATTTTTTAAAATTCATTTGATGCAAATAGTCAATAATGCTTGTTATATATCGCGGTCCTTTAAAATATCACAGAGAGCAAAGCATTAGTGCTGGACTGATGAAAAATGTATTGTTTTCATTTCCGTCCAGGAACGCCTTAAATATTGTTAAGGACGATCTGATTGCACGGGTTGACCAGCTGACATCGGAGAAGGACGTATGCGAGGAACGATTGCGCCAAACCGAGTCACAACGAGATGCTGCCCGCGAACGAGTCGAAGCTCTCGAAACAGAGATCAAAAGGCTTAAGGTATGCTTTTTTGCACTTACAATTAGCTGAGAAATGTGGCCTGGATCAGCCATCTCATGGAACACCTGGCCTAAATGTGGCAAATCATTTTTGAGCACTAGCCTTTGCTTATTGTCCAAAATACGTAATTTTCCAACACTGATAGAAAACAAAGGAAATAATGGACAATGACTGATTATCAACTAAATTCTCATAGTTACCAAACGAAGCAAGACGACATGCAAATATTGAAATGAATACTAGTTTACTCGCGTTAAGCGGGAAATGATTTACTGGTATGAAATACCGCTTAACTACCGATACAGATTTTGTGATTTCAATTCAATGTTCGAGCCAATGTTACTTTTTTGTTTTGCAAACACATTGACAAGGATAAGTGTTATAATTAGATTCATTCATAAGCCGCGATCAGTGTCCTCCACACAATTTTACATCTAAAAATAATAATAGATTTACGTTGATAAAGTCACCTTGATAAAGGTTTACCACTATTTTAGTCGAAAACGACTAATGTAGATTGGACGTAAATTGTATACACGCACCGTGTGCTTATTATAAACGAACTGATAGCTCATTTCAGATATAAAAGCAACAATACTCATGTTGTTTTAGGAGGAGGCCGACAGACTGGCACTAGAGCGGGAACAGGGTGACACGGCCGTACCGATGTCACAGAGAAAGCGATTTACTCGGGTCGAAATGGCACGAGTGCTTATGGAGCGTAACCAGTATAAGGAGAAGCTTATGGAGTTGCAAGACGCCGTTCGCTGGTCAGAGACCCTGAAAGCAACAAAGCTAACAGAAGGGTCAGCTTTTGACAAACCACACACCGGCGGAGGCGGGATTTTCAAATTGTACGTTCATTCTCTACAAGAATTGTATCCTTAGAGTCTATTTATGGACCACAAAAACGGTAAATAGAGGATACAAATATTACATCTGAGTCAACCTAATTCAGGGTCTGGATGTCAAACCTACGTTAGTTCCTTTCCTACTAGTATAAGCGTTCTTTCATATCTCTGAAGTTTGCAAGGGATTAGAAGTCAACGCTGCATGTGAAGCGAATTAGTTTCCGTCTCCAGTATCTAATATAATATTAGCTTCAAAGGCTTGTCAGAGGGAAAAAATTATGCTTCCATAGGATCCTTGCTAATAATATATGTTACTGCCAAGAAATGTAACAAAATTAATATTAAAAAATGTGTTCAAATTGAAATAATGTTCTTCCTTGTTTTAATGCTAACACACTGGACTCCAGCCCGAAGTAAGTTCTTATAAGGTCTTGTGCTCCTCGCCTGAGTTCTCATGTGTTGTTTCGTAAAGTGACAGTAAACTTGTGAAAAGCCACTTCGCGTTTGTTCTTTAGCTTGGAACTATTGAATCTCGGGTATATTTTTTCCGTGCATGGTATTCTGCACTCTAAATTTATTGCTCTCTTAAGGTTATAATTTTTTATATCTATCCTTTGACTCGTTGGACGTAATATCGGTTGTTTAAGCCAATTCTATTACATACATTTAGTGTTGCACATGCCTTGTGTACCTAGGCTCCTAAGGGTAATGCCAAATAAGTATAAACTAAGTTGCCAAAAATAAGAACATTCAATACAGTAACCTTTGAATTTACGTATGCTACTTGAGTACGGTTATTTTACTAATAATGATGTTTTTTAATAGCTTGCAACATTAGGCTGTCATTAACTTGCACGATTTTTATTCTAATGTAACTTGCATTTGCATCGCAAATCAATTAAAGATGCTGTATGTAAGTGTTTGAGGGATACATATCGTTACCACTTTTTTTTGTCTTAAAATAATCGATTCTTTTTTAATGCCTCCCTGTTATATGTGCTCTCTAGATTAAGGCGTGAAGTTGGTTATTTTAGAGCTTCTGATGATGCTTTGTGTTCCTCAAAATGGCTCACTCAATATTGGCGGGAAGGTTCGTCCTCCTGACATGACGTTCTTATTAAACCCTTTACCTCATATGTTTCTATAGCTTTAGCAATTTGTTCGCATCGGACAAAGGCAAAACGCCAACGGCGCCGTTGGGTCCTGGGAGTACAGCTTCGAAGGACCGAGAGCCAAGGACGAAAGCGTCACTGCAAAACATCCGATTGCGCGATGGAATCTCGGAGCGCAAAGCTAAGGAGCGAAGAGATCAGCTCAAAAAAGTGAAAGGTAGCAAGTATTTGTTGCTATCGTAATTCGCTTTCAGTTTTCTGTCCATGGCGTAATAGATAGTTCCCCGAACGGTAATATTTGGACCATCTGATGTAAGGATAATGACAGTTGGCCACGATCGGCTGTTCCGACTAAAAAATTTAAGCGTTATCAATAAATATTATTCTGCAGTTTGGTGCAGTTGAAAGTTTATCCAAATTTTATTTGCTATGGCTTTCATGTCCATATTGCTAATATTGTTATTTTATGCTAGTGGACGGTTGTATGCTAACGGGTATGAATTTTGCTATTCATTTGCTTTGTCAGCCCATGTAGCCAAGGATGATATCGGACGGGTACAAGCATACGGCTGGTCCTTGCCAACAGCCAACGGACAGAGTCCCCTACAAAGTGTACCGGTACCAGTTTTCTGTCGACCCCTTGATCAGAATGATCCTAATCCTCAGCTCAAGGTAGTTCATCATCGCTTTTCATGCGTATACGCATATGCTTCGAACTCGTTCGTCGAAAAAAATCACGAGATTAAATATGTATATATAGACCCGTTAGCTAGGCTAGATAGAGCATCTAATACAAAACCAGACTTACCTACCCCTGAGCTTGCTCTTACACGATACAATCCCTAGATATGTCAATATACTTGTACATTTGTATATATTCTACATAGTGAACGTCTTAAACGAAGTTGACATTGCGTATTTCATGCTTCGAATGTTTTTTCTACGTTTTGGATATTGTGAGGAGAAAATATATGGATATAATTTTATCTTATGAAGCTTCACGTGCTCACATGCCCATCCAAAAACGTCCTTATCACTTATTATCCAGAAAACATTCAGGGCTAAAAGCTGTCGTTAGATACATGTCATAACAATTATCTATTATAGGTATGGTGCGCATCAGGTGTTCATCTTCCACAGTCAGCGATGCCACGAGAACAGTTGCAGGACTCCGGGGCTCAGACGGGCAGCCAGCTGGCTGAGATGACACTGTCGTCACTTGTCTGGATCTGCTCCGGAGTGCAAAGTCGCTTCTCCCAGGTGAACTCTCACATTTTCATAACTTAGTTGTTGTCCCTAGTTGAAGTTTGAAGTGGTCTATATTGTTACGTATAAAGATGTGCTTTCACTATCCATCACGAGAAAATACTTGGTTTTTTTCTTTACCATTCTGACTTCAGGTTTCAGTTATAGATGCGAACAATCCGGCGGAAGTGCTAGAGACATTCAGGATTGGCACAAGTCTCATTCTGTGCATACAAAGCGTGCCTGGCGTCCGCGAGGATGGTTAGTATAAGTTAATGCTGGTTAAAAAAGCTGGACAATGATATTAACTGAATTTTCTTTCGTCGAGTTCGTTGATCCTAGCCCACTGCCTATGCAAAATCATCGAATTTTAGCGGAAATTTCCCGAAAAATCTCTGCCTTCACCTGTCGATAGCCTCTTAACCATTGGGAAAACTTTATCAGTCAAATTAATCTAGTTTAACATTTTTTTCCCTCAGATTTTATTTGCAATGAGGCCTATTTATCAGCTTGCATTAACGTGGAAAATAAGTCCAATGAAAGCGGAATAATGACCAAGGCAGAGCCCGGTTTAAACGCCGTATCTGAAATGGTCCGGGAACATAATGCAGATCGACCGGGTTTTAAAGGTGGAGACGCGGAAACCAGAGGCGTTTACCCCAATGCAACCCTTGGTGCTGACCAGGAGTATCTAGCGCCAGCACAACGGGAAGGAGCCAGTGTGGTCGACGTCCCTTCACCGGAAACGGAGGCCGGCGTAGAGCCTCTACCACATGACCCTCCTCAGCAAGCTGCCAGGCCACAAACGACTGGCTCTGCACCAATAACACCAGAAAAGATGTCAACCCAACTTCCGACCATGTGGATGGGAGCACAAAATGGCTACCTTTACGTACATAGCTCAAAAGCAGACTGGAGCACATGCATTCTTAAGGTATAACACTGGCATACTTCAAATCGCTGACGAGGTTACACTGATAGAGCGGTCAAAAAATTCGTGAAAAAGGTCATTTGATATTTTTTTTTACTCTAGTTTTGATTATACTCTGCTATCCTGCTAATTTCACACATATAATACGAAGACATTCGAAATTATTCAGTGACCTTTTTCGAACTGTATAATACATTTGGAGTATGTTTATCATTATGTGATTTATATATTTATTGAAACGCCAACAGCTGTATTAGAATCGGGCGCACGGTGAGTGCCAAAGAATTATAGGGACGAGATCCTAAAGACCTTTGAATCTTTACTCACCTGCACAGGTAGCATAGTATATGCTGATACTGCAATCGAATTAAGTGACCCCTCAGTTACACAATTATTTTTAGGTTAACGAGTAAGGCTACTTAAAACAAGGTATGTTAATTGCATTTTAGTTTAAACTTTCGGACTGTGTCCTATCGATCGTTCACCACCGGGGACGGGTATTTTGCTCGTTGGCAAATGGCCGGTTGGCTATATTTCATCGGGATCCAGTGACACGGGAATTTAGCGCAAGTCATTTTAGAGAAATTGTGGTGTCTCCAGAACCCGAAAAGCACTCGTTACATTGTGTTGGGGTCGTTCTCGACACGAAGATTTGGTGCGGCTATCGGAATACGATGGCAGTGCTGGACGCCCAGACGCTGGATATGGAAACGCGTTTCAGTGTTCACCCTCGCAAGGACAGCCAGGTTCGTAAAATGGCGTCGGCTAGCGAGGGAGTCTGGATCACGATACGCTTAGACTCGACCTTCCGACTGTACCACGCGCGGACGCATCAACATTTACAGGTGACATTCGGACATCTTGTCTAACCGATTCATTAACGGTGTTTCTACTCAAAATTTGCTGTTAACCTTTGCCTAGGTGACGACTTTTAAATATTACTTATTTCTAAATATTGATAGCTTTTCAGCATTCGGGGATTATCCTCTAGTTTCAACCCTTCTACCATTGTGAACATCAAATCATTTGTGTCACAGCTAGCACAACCTAATATGTAGTTAGCCGTTTTACTAGTCGATGATAGAAAATGAACTCCATATGCGATTTCCTTATCTCGTCTGTTCCAGGACGTTGACATTGAGCCCATGATTAGCCGGATGATCGGCGCAGGCAAACTGGGATTCTCATTTGTGCGTATAACTTGTATTGGCATCACGTGCAATCGCCTATGGATAGGCACAGGCAACGGTGTTATTCTGAGTTTACCTTTGCTCGCTACGTCGAGTCAGAGCAATTCTTCAGCGAAGACGACGTTGAAAAAGTTAACCTCAACACAGTCTCTACCGGATGCCGCAGCCGGGCCAACTGGGTTTGAGGAAACGGCGACGACGACCGCCGCGGACGCTGAAGGTGGACCTTATTCGTTAGGGGCAACGAATCCGATTTCGCCCGTGGCGGAACAACCTGTCCGCTTCGTACCGCCATCGCTGCCTGGCTCCTGTTTGCGCGTGGACGATCTCTCCATTCCGTATTGCAACATCACGCAGGCACAGTTGTCATTCCACGGCCACAAAGATAGCGTACGTTTCATTTTGGGTGTACCGGGAACTGGTGGGATGATATCCACTACGTCGCCAGCCGCGGTCAATCAGGAGGGTGGCACGACGCCGCCGGCAAGGTAACGGGAAAGCATGTCTATTATCTAGTATAAGTGAAAAAACAACAATTAGTGAAGACGAGTAGTCGGAACGAATATATTAGTGAAAGAAATATATATACAGGGTAAGCCGAAAACTTTTTGACAATTTGAAAAGTTTGTATGGGTGATCGCTGCGAACAGAGGATTGTTGTTCGTTTTAACTAGTAATGTTTGCTTTTGTACGATAAGAAATAGCTATAATTAAATTAATTAAACAGTATAATTTCCTTGTTTCATCTTTCTGTGAACGATGCATGGCCAATCTCATTGTTTCGGCCAGTCCCTTTGTCATTTTTATCGTTGCACAGCGTTTATCCCAGCGTATCGCTGCGCCATCCCGACCTGTTAACGTTTCCTACCCTGTCCACCAGCTTTCCAAGTTTTTAATATAAGCCAATTTTACTTCGTTTGCCAGGTGTATGTTTGTCTTGAGCGGTGGTGAGGGCTATGTCGACCTTCGCATGGATGAGGAAAATGTAGGAAGCGAATCGCTGTCAGACAAGTCAGACCTCAGCCACCTAATCGTATGGGAAGTAGCTCTGTAACTGGTGTTATCGGAAATAATAGTTTACAGATAACACCTTTAGCCGCGCAAGCGGGAGTGCCTGACCACAACGCGGTAAGGCTTCGTAAGCGCGCGAGGAGAAAATACAGTGACTTCGCTGAAGTTTTATTTATCTTCCCACACGACTCAGTGTGGTTACTATGTGAGAAAGTTAATATTTTGCAGTTGGTGTAGTTTCAGTGAGGTATTGCGAAACCACGCCTCAGATTCAATACTGAAAAAGATGGCACAGCATGACCAAGCGGGAGGATATCGTAGCTCTACACAGCAGCAAAATGGCGTGTCTAAGACAAATTTAAATTATACACGAAAACCAGTTGTAACGAAGTGGAGTCGTAGAGGAGATTAAGTTCATGGCTGGCCTACTATATCACAGTTTGAGGAAACATGGAGACGACACTTGCGGCATGTTCCAAAGAGCCTATTTATTTGAGGCGGTAAGGACGTTTGTGTCCAAAATCGCTCTTTCTGGTAGTGTTGACAAAAAGGGCGCACGCATAGGAATCAAAGTATGTCCCTGTGTACGTCCCCAACAAGCTCTACAGATACTATGTTGCGGGACCCACCATAATGCTTACCACGTTTTGTGTGATTCATTGTTTTAAAATCCACGTATATATATATATATATATATATATATACATATATAAGATCTCCGTAATACGGAATATTACGGAGATCCCCCTTTCTGCATTGGCTGACGGTAAATATTATTTCTATTCCACTGATTCCGTGTTTAGTGTTAAGCACAAGTTCAGCTCACTTCATTGCAACAAAAACCGGACATAACCATTGTCCATCATCAACTATAGGGATGATTCTTTTCGCTTTCGCGTTTTTTTTTTGATGAAGTCATCAATTAACATTGAAACCGTATAATATTGAAAATTATGATTACCGTAAACTTTAATATTAACTGGAGTATTACTATCATCGTATTACATTACGATGTTGCAGTTATTAAAAGTTGGATAGGGATACTGCTTCTATTTATAAAAATAGGTCGTACCCTAGGTTTAGTATCGTGTGGAGCTGTGACATATGTTAAATACAATAAATCAATAGATACAGAGTGAATGACTATAGAAAGGCGAATTTCCAAGGGTAATTTTAGAGCCTGTGTGCGAATATATTGCACTATTATACTGCAGCTGTGCCTGCCTGCCTGTCTGTCTGTGTGTTGATAACTCCACACATATTAACAACTATGAGTACCCATTTAAAGAGATAATATAATTATTTAAAGCTTCATTTAGACTGTTACAAGCGAATCCAGCGAAGTTTGAAATTGAATAACTTTTGAACTACACGCCGCTAGCAAACAAAATTTGATTAGTAATTAATCGAGTGTTCTAGGATTCTGTGAGTAGGAACCAGTCGAGTTTACTTTAGGAAAGAGAGGGAAGAATATCTTCTAGTTTCGAAAATCAATGCTCAGTGGTGAAGTTCTTGTTTCCCACAGCGCTGCGGAAATTCATTGAAGATTAATGAGAAAGAACATTAGACCAGGAGGCCTTACGCGTTTCCCACAGCGCTGCGGAAATTCATTGAAGATTAATGAGAAAGAACATTAGACCAGGAGGCCTTACGCGAAAGAAGCACACTACGTAAATGATGCAGATATTTCAATAAAAAACATCTGAATATTGAAGGCCAGCAAGGAGGTGACCAGATTTCGGGGCGCGAAGAAAGGGGATGGACTGAAGCAACCAAGGGGCCTTTCCACAGAGATAGAGCTTGAAGCCAAAGCTCGCAATTCACATGTATCATGTTATAAAATGATAAACTAAACTATTGACAATGTGGAAACCGAGTAAAGAATTAGTCTCAGGTAAACGGACTTCCGGACAGTCGAAAATGTGTGTACTGTATTCCTCGTGCAATTTACGGAACCTGAACCAGCAAAAAAATCCGCTCACAGCATACGATTGCCACAGAATACACATCGCTCAACCTCTACCGCTAGTTCGGGAAAGAGCAGGCGTGAGAATGGCATAGGCCTAAAGAGGAACCGAGTTCAATACCAGTGTCGAGTGAGTTCGGACTAGAGATTCTACGAGTATTTGCAATGGGCATCAGAGGCGTCTACTACTATGGGGTAGCCGCTGAAAGTGAACTGAGCGCAACTAGCTATCTCAAGTTCCTCAGGATACTCATAAATTGTTGGCACGGCAATCGAAAGGGGGCAGTTTGGTTACTTGATAATGACGCTAGACTTAATCGCCATGCCTCAATTACTTTTTCGGACTAAACGAAAGAATATCCAATGTTGAATTATACCATTTTCTTCTTTCCGTTTAGGTTTGTGTGATTACACGGCTCTTCGCACCCTAGGAAGGGGGGGTGAAAAGACATATCCCACTATCGATTTACCTCAACAAGTTATAGATAGAGAAGACACATATGAGAATGCGACTGGTAGGTATATAGCTGTCCAGAGACGAAACAAGTATGTAAATAATAAAGGAGGATATCTCTTGTGAGTATTGCAAAATCATTCTAGCCCAACTAGTTCAAAAAGTGACCGGTTTTGAAGTCCGCCAAATTCGGTTGTAACAGCCTAATATAATTAACGGAGAAGAGCAACTAATATAATTGTGCGAGGAATAGTTGTGGCAGCAGCAGCAACAACAGGTGTGATGTAAGAACGTTTGCGTCAACATTCGTAGTAGTCTGACGCAACGTCGAAACGATTTCCGTGACGGATATTGTGACGGCGATGTGAACCTGCACTAGAGGCAACCTACGACGCGAACGTTTTGCGAAAAAAAAATCGACAAATACAATGCTACCAAATGTTGTAGGGGCTAAGCGGATTGTTTATTGTATTGTATAAGTTCGATTACTGTAGTTGCACTGTGACAAGTCGTTTTTTTTGTTTTTTTTTTTGATTTTTCATGTTCTTGTTGCTTTTTTAGCGTGTGGACGTACAAAGTGCATATTCTGATAATAAAAAGAGATAGGAAAAAAGTAGCTCGAAGAGTAACAAATGTCAGAAGACGTTTTAATTAGTCTCGTATTGTATTTTGTGCGTCTAATGTAAGGAAAAACAAATAAACAGGACTAGTCTTAAAGTTGAGTTGATGAGGGCTGAACATTACGAAAGATATACGTACTATATAATGTATGTTTAATCTGAGGCCGAGCATTAATTGGACTAGAGCACAAACAGTGGTGAAGGTTTACAGGCTGGGTAACAAAAAGATTTGTCATTTGGCTCCGGATGTTTTCGCTAGTTAAAAGACCGAATCAACTTTATGATGAATTGCTTGATTGCCACAAGACGCTGGGATGAACACACTCCGATTTCCGCATAAATTAAGGACCTTTATTATTAATTAAATCCAATAACGAGTCGTGGTTTAGTCTCTTCATTCAGGCGGTTCCTGACCTTATTTTGTGAAAGGCATGCATCTTTCGTTATTTTCGAAGAGTCGGCTATGCTTGTATCATCCTCCCAGACAAGATTGCCTTTTGTATGTATCAGAAATTGTCACGGTGACTACTCTAAGCCATGTGAAATAGTGCAGTGTATGAAAATAAATTTTCGTAAGTAGTAATTTCCTAATATTTCTTAAAACGAGTCATCAGCTTCTTAAAAAATCTTTGAAGTGCGCTTTGCAACTCCAGTCATTATAAATCGGCCTACCCTACCCTGATCGCCAATGCATCTTCAGCAAGAAAAGTAGACTTAGGTTGGTTTCAATATTAACTCACATAATGACCATGCTGGGTTCCTGATTAGTCGGGGGACACTATAGTACCGAGGGTTGGTCCTTTTTAATAGAATTAACTGAAAATTTTTATCTGAGATATATGTCTGTACATATACATGATTTCAAGGCCTTTTTAGCAAAGTGAATTTTGCCCGAAAGGCGTTGGTCGGCGCGCGCCCATCAGACTGCCTGGAAAACACTTCACGTACTAAATTTGGTACTAGTACTGCCCGTCTTATTTACGATTCGGCAAGAACCTTTTTGAAGTAGGCCTTTCATTATTTTCAACTCGTTCGAAGTAAGTCTCGTAATAGACATTTAAGAAAAGTTCAGGGTTTAAACGTCAAACTGCACGACTTCTGCACTTATTTTTGACGTTACCTCCAGGTCAAGTAATCGATGATGTTTAGCTGCAGAGCGCACGATTTCAAAGGTAAAGGCAAACGAGTAAAAAACTTCTGGGTTACATGAAGTCCGAACTTCTCGCATTAAGCAAATGAGTTGGCAGTAGCTTTTATATAATATCCTCTATTTCAGTAGGCATATATAATGCAAAACTTCGCAGTGCTAATTAAATTAAAGAAGTTGACGACAGATACGGTTCTCTGTAGTGATCGAACAATTGAGGAAATCGAGGATCTTTTATCTAGCTGTAAATCGTCGCCTCAACTCATATAATTACCAAAAAATGTTATACGCTTATGCTGAAATTATGCATAGAAACACGCAAATGGAAGACTCACATACGTACGGGAGACACAATTCTCTCACAAAAGCTGGGGCAGTGTTTGAGCGTAGTTTAACATAAAAAATCAGAAACGATGGTGACGAAGAAAAAAAAATCTATTTGTGCATATTACTAGTTAATGCTACAATAAAGAATTATCTATATTGTCATAGAACGAGTTCTTTTTGTTGCAAAAAGTGCCTGGTGATATTATGAGATTACAGCAGGCGTTTTTCAAAAATTCATTCGATTCATACTTCAGCACATTCGGCCTTGGCCAAACTGTAACACTTACATTCTGGAGCGCGAATATCTTGTCGCTAAACAATAATAATTATGAGCCTTGCACGTGATTGTACCATACGCCTATTGAAAAAATACAAACAGGCCGAAATCCAACAATCAGCCAACGGCCTGTCCGTCTTTGCTGGGTCCGGGACTATTTCGTGGTAAATCTTGGATAACCTCTGTTCCTCCTTCGATTCCTTTCAAACGCTACACTGCAGTAAAATTGGCTCCGCAAAGAGAACTCGTCAATGTCAAAACTACTTTCCCAGACAGTGTCCACACACAGCTACAAAATGAACAATCTATTAACCAAAGTTTTTATCTGTTAGTGTCTAGTACGATCTAACGTATTGTTAAAGAATGTTTTTGTTATTAAAGAATAGAAGTAGTCGTAATCCAATCTACTTGATGACGTAACTTTCTTTTATAGGAAAGGCTAGATAATGTTGCTTGAACGGATTGGGATCCGTTATTTTATATTATTTTGTCATATTAATAAATTACTCATAAATACGGAAGTGCACGTTTAATTGTAAGAATTCTAATTATACGTTCTCTAAGATTTAACTTTGTAGGAGCAATAAGTCTTTTTGCCATTCGTTTGCATGCATAATAGAACAGAGATCCCACAATGGGTTCCCTGAATGATATCGCTTTCTGTGTCTGCAGCATTTAATAATTAATTGATTCCAGCTTAAATATTATTGACCATAGTCTATCGTAACCTTCAGAAGCGCACAAATTGTGATGTTTCAAACTTGGATTTTTTCAAAAGTGGAGCAGATATTTCAAATCGACGTTGACGTTTTAGGCGTATGCAGTATGATAGATGAGATACGACTAAGAGACTACTGAAGGATTAGAAAATCCCCAGGGGACAGACAATGATCCATACTCCGATATACATTAAGAATGAAAAACATAAGCTGCGTAATCAGATACGTAATACTAGACCATTGCAATCCTTTTCGACAAGTTAGGGCATGGTAATGGAAATTGGCAAATTTTCCAACCCATTTTAAATGTATTAAGATAATAGTCGGATGAGGGAAAGACTGAAACGAAACAGTTACGATGGGTTAAAAAATTTGCTAGAGATCTGCACGCGATCAATCTGTGGTTTGATTGATTATATCGTCTGAATTGATTTAGGAAAAAAGAAATAAACTAAGACATTACCTCCGGCTTGTCCGAGCGTAAAAGCTCCGCCAGTCAAAAACGGTTCTACAAAAGAACAATGCAGTAGATCAGATGATATCTGCACATTTCAAAAGAAAAAAAACCTAACAGTACTACATTTTAAACCAGCCGCTAAACAATGAGAATAAATTATTTGTGTAGTAATAAGCTAACAACTGTTTTTCTTCTGTTTGTTTCGTGTGTTCGTCTCCTTTGTACAAAGTGTCTAGATTTATCAGAGCAGACATTGACTGCTGAGTGTCTGACGTGTGACGTATGGCTTGCTAGCGTTCGTTAAACTCTTGATAAACTCAACGAGCAATGGAGAATGTTGTGTTAGTTGGCCTATATTATATTATGCCTAATTGACACGCCTAACATAACGGAAACAGATTGGATGGGTATTTATTGACTAGTTAATGGAGAGTATGTTTTGTTATTTTATAGGTCGAAAAGACCCTGCTAACTATGAGCACGGTTCTCTTTTTGACGAACAAATATTGTGTTTTACTCAGGAACGGATTCCATCCGTTGGGTGTTCCTTTTTTCTGAATATTATACTCGACTCGAAACTGTCTACTGAACAAAGTCGACTGCATAAAATTACCATATGGCTGGCACAGCTCACATAGTGGTTTTGTTCATGATCATTATTCGCTACTGCATCCGAGATAACACATATTAGAAGGTTCATAGTCGCACAGTCGTTGACATCAAGCTCACCCAAGCTTTCTGCCTATTAACGAGGATGACCGCGGTTAGCGGTGACTATACAAATACTATCTGCGCTGTACTGGTAAGTTTTTCTTCCATATTGCTGATAAACGCGGCGGGGCTAAATCATATGGAGAGAGAACTGAACGCGAGCAAGTTAAAGAAGCGAACTGGATAAATTATCAGTTCTTCTGCAGTACGTACGATCCTGTGAACATATAGGAAAACATATAGGGCTTTAACATATAGAGCTTCGACAGAGTTTAGAGCTTTAGACAACCAGTCTTCATGATTTCATGGTGGGCTCCCAAGTAATGGTAGTTCTGCTTTTATCAAAATTGCCAAATAAACAATACATACAGTTATTCATGCGAATTTTTCACTTAAGTGACACACATCCGCAGACTTTGAAGGGTGTCATATGCGGTCAGTTAAGGGGCGTCCGGCTATAATTACTCTAACTGAAGTAAGTAACACTCAAGACAATGCTCATGTGTACTGAAACTCTTGGTTCATTAATAAATGATAGAGCTCAATGAAGAAAAACGTTTTGCGGATGGAACCATGGAGCACCAAATCATCGTATTATCGCTGATGGCGGAACTATTTATTGTGTATGTAATTCTCTGCCAAATACTAGCCGGACTAGAAACGACAAAAGACACGCGCGTAGAAAGCTATGCTATTGCGCCCAAGCCAATTCATTAAAAATCAACTGTAGCAAGTGGATGAATTAGAACTATCTAGAATTCATCATTACCAAACTAGAAACCAAAATTACTAAACTATTAGTAAAGCATACTTTATGAACAGACATTGCAGGCTCAAAACTTAACCATTATGACCAACAATCTACGTAAAACGAACATACTATGATTTGTTCTGATGATGATGCATCAAATAAATACTCGAACGCCTCTGGCGTGATAAAATATTTTTGAGCAGCTCCATTTTGAAGCTAAAATAGCGGCGATTACGAGATTGACATCGTTATTAGTTGAATGATTACCATTATCTACATCCAGCGATTTGAGCGCCAAAATAAGCTTTCCATTATGCTTGTACGTTTTTTTGTAACTGGGCAGCGCTTTTCAAACAGTAACATATTTCCGTAGGTGATGCCTGCAATCTCGCTTTTTACATGTTTCGGCGCCTGGTGATTACGCATTACGTCGATGGTACATAGTTCTATTGGAAGTAATCTTTTCCATCCAGGCTCTGTCACTTCCCAAAGACAGTTGCCATGAGTTTTAAAGCACCCCGTATAGTTTCATTAATCATTACCCGTCTTTAGAGGTGATGCTACGCGTCAATTCAATAGGCTTGAATATACGTATTAAGAAGCAAGCTTTGTCCTTTGAATGCCACATGATTTCCTTGACTTTATTATTTTGTTTCAATTTTCTTCAAGCGAAGTCCATTCGAGTTGCTCAAATGTTAAAGCTCTATCCATAATCGCAATAATGGTTAACCAATCGACGTAGAAATAAAGAATTGTTTCGGCACTACCCTGAAACGCCATATACTTTATTTTAGATTGTTAAGATAGGCTTCGAGCGAGGTTAAAAAAGGTGCTCAAGGACAGGACGCTATATGAGTACGTTCGCCAATACCTCGGAATCGCTTTTCAAGCGGTCAATACGCATGCATCCCTCGAAACGAAGGCCGTCCGAAGGGCAAACGCACAGTTTGCATACGTTCACAGAGGATGGTATGAAGGAATATTTTCTATACGAATAACTTTATTGACAACTTGAGTGCTGATATAATAATAAAGTTGTTTATTAATGCGCTTCATTTGTTGAGTTGAAGTACGTACAATAACTCATAAATTGGATTTTTACTTTGTGGATTAATGGTCTATGTTATATTATGTTTTTAACCTAAAGTACAACGTTAGTTTTTCGTGTATACTAGCGAAGTTTACTATTGTTAACCTTAAGGCCTATGGAGCTCATTGGTCCATAAGACTTTCACACGCTTTTATAAATATTTTTACTTTTTCTTTTTTCACGTATTATATTATTGATATTTCACGTATATTATTATTGATTTCTGCGCACTGAAAAATTGATCGGAGATACTTTAATCACATTTTATGCGACGTTTTATCTGCAGTTTTACATTCCGAAAACTGTATGTAATCCATTTTCGTTTGGTTCTAAGAATAGGCGATGAGAAATTTAAAGTACCACTTATAAAATAAACTCTCCCTATTAATTATAACGCAATGCGAACCTTCATTTTTTTGGACAAGTGTCCATATGTTCAACATACATCTAAAACGTACAACTCTATCGTGCGCCACAGAGGAGGTGTTTTTTTTGACCCAGATTTTGAATTTGGTCTGGAAAAAGGCTTTTTGTCCTTCTTTAAATATTAAGTATAATATCTTTTAACTAGTAACGAAGCCGATAAAGGCGATTACATACAGTGAACAAATGATCTGCGCTCTAAATCCAACTTAGCTTAGCTTAGCTCGTTTTATCAATAAATAATAAGAACTCTAACAAAGTAATAGGGTTCGTCAGTTGCTCAACCTAGGTAAAGTAAAGGTCAGAAAAAATACTACAGTAAGAACTATAGTAGTTGCT